GGCCACTAAAGGATCGTTATTTTTTGTGTGACTGCGTTGAGTGGGCCACTAAAATATCGTTTTTTTTTTTGTGCGACTGCGTTGAGTGGACCAATAAAGTATTGGTATTTTTCTGTGTGACTGCATTGAGTGGACCACTAAAGTATCAGTATTTTTTGTGTGACTGCATTGAGTGGACCACTAAAGTATCGTTATTTTTTGTGTGACTGCGTTGAGTGGACCAATAAAGTATCGATATTTTTCTGTGTGACTGCGCTGAGTAGGCCACTAAAGGAGAGTTATTTTGTGTGTGTGACTGTGTCGAGTGGACCACTACATTATCCTTATTTTTCTGTGTGACTGCGTTGAGTAGGCCACTAAAGTATCGGTATTTTTTGTGTGACTGCGTTGAGTGGACCAATAAAGTATCGATATTTTTCTGTGTGACTGCGTTGAGTAGGCCACTAAAGGAGAGTTATTTTGTGTGTGTGACTGTGTCGAGTGGACCACTAAATTATCCTTATTTTTCTGTGTGACTGCGTTGAGTAGGCCACTAAAGTGTCGGTATTTTTTGTGTGACTGCGTAGAGTGGGCCACTAAAGTATCGGTATTTTTTGTGTGACTGCGTTGAGTGGACCAATAAAGTATTGGTATTTTTTGTGTGACTGCGTTGAGTGGACCACTAAAGTATCGTTATTTTTCTGTGTGACTGCGTTGAGTAGGCCACTAAAGTATCTTTATTTTTCTGTGTGACTGCGTTGAGTAGGCCACTAAAGTATCATTATTTTTTTTGTGTGACTGCATTGAGTGGGCCACTAAAGTATCGTTATTTTTCTGTGTGACCGCGTTGAGTGGACCGCTAAAGTATTGTAATTTTCTGTGTGACTGCGTTGAGTGGACCACTAAAGTATCGTTATTTTCCTGTGTGACTGCATTGAGTGGGCCACTAAAGTATCGTTATTTTTCTGTGTGACTGCGTTGAGTGGACAGCTAAATTATCGTTTGTTTTTTTTGTGTGACTGCATTGAGTGGACCACTAAAGTATCGTTATTATTTTTTGTGTGACTGCATTGAGTGGACCACTAAAGTATCGTTATTTTTCTGTGTGACTACGTTGAGTGGACCAATAAAGTATCGGTATTTTTCTGTGTGACTGCGTTGAGTAGGCCACTAAAGTATCTTTATTTTTCTGTGTGACTGCGTTGAGTAGGCCACTAAAGTATCATTATTTTTTTTGTGTGACTGCATTGAGTGGGCCACTAAAGTATCGTTATTTTTCTGTGTGACCGCGTTGAGTGGACCGCTAAAGTATTGTAATTTTCTGTGTGACTGCGTTGAGTGGACCACTAAAGTATCGTTATTTTCCTGTGTGACTGCACTGAGTGGGCTACTAAAGTATCGTTATTTTTTTGTGTGACTGCATTGAGTGGACCACTAAAGTATCGTTATTATTTTTTGTGTGACTGCATTGAGTGGACCACTAAAGTATCGTTATTTTTCTGTGTGTCTGCGTTGAGTGGGCCACTAAAGTATCGTAATTTTTCTGCGTGACTGCGTTAAGTAGGCCACTAAAGGAGAGTTATTTTTTTGTGTGACTACGTTGAGTGGGCCACTAAAATATCGTTTTTTTTTTGTGCGACTGCGTTGAGTGGACCAATAAAGTATTGGTATTTTTCTGTGTGACTGCATTGAGTGGACCACTAAAGTATCAGTATTTTTTGTGTGACTGCATTGAGTGGACCACTAAAGTATCGTTATTTTTTGTGTGACTGCGTTGAGTGGACCAATAAAGTATCGATATTTTTCTGTGTGACTGCATTGAGTAGGCCACTAAAGGAGAGTTATTTTATGTGTGTGACTGTGTCAAGTGGACCACTAAATTATCCTTATTTTTCTGTGTGACTGCGTTGAGTAGGCCACTAAAGTATCGGTATTTTTTGTGTGACTGCGTAGAGTGGGCCACTAAAGTATCGGTATTTTTTGTGTGACTGCGTTGAGTGGACCAATAAAGTATCGTTATTTTACTGTGTGACTGCGTTGAGTAGGCCACTAAAGTATTGGTATTTTTTGTGTGACTGCGTAGAGTGGGCCACTAAAGTATTGGTATTTTTTGTGTGACTGCGTTGAGTGGACCAATAAAGTATCATTTAGGGATGAGCGAGTACACCACTATCTGTATCTGTATCTGTTCAACCAACTAAATTATCTGTATCTGTATCTGTACTCGGAATGGGTGTGGTATAACCTGGAAGTGGGCGTGGTTAAACCGGCAGTGGGTGTGGTTTACATCCATATATTATTTTAAGTCTGAAATTGATATGGATTGTTCAGAAGTTGATATGTGTATTGTTTATTTGAAAACTATTTACAGATCAGCCTCAGAATTGAGATTAAATATTTTTGTTCACAATAGTAAAGGAACTGTTACAGAACAAGTTTTTCAAAAAAATCAGAACATTAATATTTAAGTGCATGGATTAATACATCCGAACTCATGCAGTAGGAACTAGGAAATACGAAATGCTAGAACCAGACACAACTTTATATATATTTTTAAATTTTAATTTGATTAAACTGATTTTTTTTCTTAATGTTCTTGGCATTTTCCCACACAAAGTTAAACAAAACAATGTTGATTAAGGTGTGTGTGTGTGTGTGTGTGTGTGTGTGTGTGTGTGTGTGTGTGTGTGTGTGTGTGTGTGTGTGTGTGTGTGTGTGTGTGTGTGTGTGTGTGTGTGTGTGTGTGTGTGTGTGTGTGTGTGTGTGTGTGTGTGCGTGGATGAGTCGGACAGACTGCGCTCCCGGCCGGCTGCAGTTTTGTGTGTAGGGAGGGGCGGGCGCTCTATGTGACTGGCCAATCACAGAGCATGAAGACACTCAGTTACCCAATGAGGATTTTCCTTCATCACGATTACGGATATTTACGAGTTTTACTCGTTTCATGCTCGTATTCGTCAAAAATGCTTTATCTGTACCGGATACTCGTCTGAAACGAGTACCCGGCTCATCCCTATTATCGTTATTTTTCTGTGTGACTGCGTTGAGTAGGCCACTAAAGGAGAGCTATTTTATGTGTGTGACTGCGTTGAGTGGGCCACTAAAGTATCTGTATTTTTTTGTGTGACTGCGTTGAGTGGACCACTAAAGGAGAGTTATTTTATGTGTGTGACTGCGTTGAGTGGGCCACTAAAGTATCTGTATTTTTTTGTGTGACTGCGTTGAGTGGACCACTAAAGTATCGTTATTTTTTTGTGTGACTGCGTTGAGTCGCCCAATAAAGTATCGTCATTTTTCTGTGTGACTGCGTTGAGTAAGCCACTAAAGTATCAGTATTTTTTGTCTGACTGCGTAGAGTGGGCCACTAAAGTATAGGTATTTTTTGTGTGACTGCATTGAGTAGGCCACTAAAGGAGAGTTATTTTATGTGTGTGACTGCATTGAGTGGGCCACTAAAGTATCGGTATTTTCTGTGTGACTGCGTTGAGTAGGCCACTAAAGGAGAGTTATTTTATGTGTGTGACTGCGTTGAGTGGGCCACTAAAGTATCTGTATTTTTTTGTATGACTGCGTTGAGTGGACCACTAAAGTATTGTTGTTTTTTTGTGTGACTGCGTTGAGTGGCCCAATAAAGTATCGTTATTTTTCTGTGTGACTGCGTTGAGTAAGCCACTAAAGTATCGGTATTTTTTGTCTGACTGCGTAGAGTGGGCCACTAAAGTATCGCAATTTTTTGTGTGACTGCATTGAGTAGGCCACTAAAGGAGAGTTATTTTATGTGTGTGACTGCGTTGAGTAAGCCACTAAAGTATCAGTATTTTTTGTCTGACTGCGTAGAGTGGGCCACTAAAGTATAGGTATTTTTTGTGTGACTGCATTGAGTAGGCCACCAAAGGAGAGTTATTTTATGTGTGTGACTGCGTTGAGTGGGCCACTAAAGTATCGGTATTTTCTGTGTGACTGCGTTGAGTAGGCCACTAAAGGAGAGTTATTTTATGTGTGTGACTGCGTTGAGTGGGCCACTAAAGTATCTGTATTTTTTTTGTGTCACTGCGTTGAGTGGACCACTAAAGTATTGTTGTTTTTTTGTGTGACTGCGTTGAGTGGCCCAATAAAGTATCGTTATTTTTCTGTGTGACTGCGTTGAGTAAGCCACTAAAGTATCGGTATTTTTTGTCTGACTGCGTAGAGTGGGCCACTAAAGTATCGCAATTTTTTGTGTGACTGCATTGAGTAGGCCACTAAAGGAGAGTTATTTTATGTGTGTGACTGCGTTGAGTGGGCCACAAAAAGTATCTGTATTTTTTGTGTGACTGCGTTGAGTGGACCACTAAAGTATCATTATTTTTTTGTGTGACTGCGTTGAGTGGACCACTAAAGTATCGTTATTTTTCTGTGTGACTGCATTGAGTAGGCCACTAAAGGATAGTTATTTTATGTCTGTGACTGTGTTGAGTGGGCCACTACAGTATCGTAATTTTTTGTGCGACTGCGTTGAGTGGGCCACTAAAGTATCGTTATTTTTTTGTGTGACTGCGTTGAGTGGACCAATAAAGTATCGTTATTTTTCTGTGTGACTGCGTTGAGTAGGCCACTAAAGGAGAGTTATTTTCTGTGTGTGACTGCATTGAGTGGGCCACCAAAGTATCTGTATTTTTTGTCTGATTGCGTTGAGTGGACCACTAAATTATCGTAATTTTTTTGTGTGACTGCGTTGAGTGGACCACTAAAGTATCGTTATTTTTGTGTGTGACTGCGTTGAGTGGGCCACTAAAGTATCGTTATTTTGTGTGTGACTGCGTTGAGTGGGCCACTAAAGTATCGTAATTTTTTGTGCGACTGCATTGAGTGGGCCACTTAAGGATCGTTATTTTTTGTGTGACTGCGTTGAGTGGGCCACTAAAGGATTGTTATTTTTTGTGTGTGACCGCGTTGAGTGGGCCACTAAAGTATCGTAATTTTTTGTGCGACTGCATTGAGTGGGCCACTTAAGGATTGTTATTTTTTGTGTGTGACCGTGTTGAGTGAAAATATGTTGGTGTTCCAGGGTGAATAGCTAAATTGTGCCCTGACTGTGTGAGTACCACTGTTTCTTTGACAGGTGGGAAACAGCCAACTGGACTGATCACAAAAGCCTGGACGAGTTTTTATTCCAAAACATCATGGTGCTGGACCTCTTCAAGTTTTCCTCATTACTACAACTGAAATTCGTTCTGCAATACCTACGGAAGATATCCGTCATAAACTGCAAGGTACAAACAAGACAACAATGGTTGGTGGTAACCACAGAAACAGTTAAGCCAAAACACTGGTGAAGGTATTCATCTATCCAAGATTATCTGCTTCTCGTTCAACAAGGTCCTTAAGTCAGTTTAGTGCAGAGGACCAAGCATTTAGACTTTAGTAAGATCTTTATACATGTGAGTGTGTTCTACATCTTTATACATGCTGGTTCAAAAATCACCTCTTCTCCCCTCCGAGGGTCAAGGTCGTCACAACCTTACACCCTCTGGCTGAGAATACCTCCACCAAGACAAAAAGAAACAGGACAGGTACAGTTGTAGCAGTGTGGGGTGTAGATAATAAAAGTGTCAAATTGAAACAGTGGAGCCTTCAGATTCATTTCCACCCTTGCCTTGGCATCTGTCCCATTGCCAAGCATCCATGAAATTAAAACCAAGGTGCGTACCAAACGGGGATTATAGACGTACCGTTACAACCAGGGTCCGAAATTAACACTCGCCACTCGCCAAATGCGAGCAAATTGCTCCATTTGGCGAGTAAATTTTTGAGCTCTATCTGCCACATAGCGAGTAAATGTTTGCACCAAATTAGTTATGTTTATCAGTCATCTTCCATGGATTTCTGATACTCCTCCTGCCTGCATGCAACGTACACAAACGTACGCGAAACGTGAGCGCCGCATCCAATGTCATTGCCACCTATCCTATTCAATCAGTTTATCAAGTTAGCAGTTAGCTTCGTGTTAAAACTAGCGGTGAAATGTGGCGGTTTTTAACTGGAGTCAGCCAGCCTTCCAAAAGAAAACTCGTCGAAATGGAAGAAAAACCATCAGGACCAGTGGCAACCAGAAGAATTTGTGAAAAGTGGCGAACTGGAGATGGTGGAGTCGTGAGACAATGGCTACATTACGATGGCCATGTAGCGTTGCTGCCTTTCACAGACAACTGTCCCTTGGCATTCTTCAAATATCCAAAAAATGCCCATACTTCCGACTTTGTCTTCTTTGAGGGATAATAAATGTCCCGAGTGCTGCCGTCTCCTCTGGCCATTATTTCAGCTTCAGCTGAAAGAAAGTTTTGGTCATAAACAACAAAGTGCGCATGTGCCGCCGGCAACTTCAGCAGATGATACGGAGGCTGGTAAGTAGGGATGAGCCGGATACTCGTTTCAGACAAGTATCCGGTACGGATAAAGCATTTTTGACGAGTACTTTTTTTTTTTATTCTTTATTTATAATTGAACAAGATACATATTCTCGTTGAGGATTACAGTCTCGTCAATACAACAGCCAAAACCAACAGCTTAGTGAATAACATGACATCGTGCTGAAGGAAAATCCTCATTGGGTAACTGACTGTCTTCACGCTCGGTGATTGGCCAGTAAAATAGCGAGTCCGCCCCTCCCTACACACAAAACTGCAGCCGGGAGCTCTGCTCAGTCCGTGTCCGGTTCATCCACGCACACACACAGACAGTAACGGATCTCTCTGTGCTTGCTTCACTGTTCACGTTTCTTCAGTACTCCCTATGTTTTCTTCAGTTTGCTTCTTTTTAAAGTTACTTTAAAGTTATTTTTGTCGTAACGTACGTGGTTAAAACGGCTCGTGCTGCGTCAGTCACTGCTTCCGCTCCAGTCGGGGTTCTTTTTCCCCTCTCTCTCTCCTCTTCCTGAGGAGGATCCACTCCCTCTTTCCTATTCACTCTCTCTCTCTTTACATTTTTAATCACAATTGTCTATTTTTTGCTCATTTTAAATATATTTTAATCATTTTCTAAATTATTTTTTTCTATTTTACATGTTTTGTTTTTGTGAAGCGCCCTGTGATTTTTATCTTGAGAGGCGCTATAGAAAAGATCTTTTCTTCTCTCTCTCTCTTAATTCATGCACTTAAATATTAATGTTCTGATTTTATTCAAAAACTTGTTCTTCACTATTGTGATCAAAAACATTTAATCTCAACTCTGAGGCTGCTCTGTAAATAGTTTTCAAATAAACAATACACATAGCAACTTCTGATCAGACTTAAAATAACGTATTGATGTAAACCACACCCACTTCCGGGTTAGGCCACGCCCACTCTGAGTACAGATACAGATTATTTAGATGGTTGAACAGATACAGATACAGATAGTGGTGTACTCGCTCATCCCTACTGGTAAGGGTCACCGCGCCTACACCGCAGCCACGGTAATCCACCGAGATAATTTTTTTTTAAACAAGACGGTTATTATTATTGTCAACTTTTTTACCGGGGTTTACTGCTACACCGGTTACCGTGACAACCCTAGCCCTGACACACTTTCAGATATTCTCATGGTGCAGCTGTGTTCTCCAGAGATCAAGGACTATGACCCAAATGAGGCTGTAATGCTTTGGCACAAAGACTGTGTCAGAAGCAGGAGGCCAGACTTCATGGACAGAGAAAACAAGGAGTCTGACTAGATTTCAATGAAAGAGTTCATAAAAACATCTCTAAAAATAAATAAATAAATAGTAAAAATGACAAAAGAGTTGTTTTTCTTATTAATTGATGTTTTAATTATTTTGTCACTCTGTTTGGAATCAACATAATATAGAATTACATGCTTTAGGTAGATCTAAATCATTTAGAATTTTGGCCGGTAAAAAATATGCTTGGCCGGTAGATTTTCATCATCTACCAGCCAACTTGGCCGGTGAGTAAAACTTTTAATTTCGGACCCTGGTTACAACCCAAGTATTTATTCTCTCATTTGGGAAACATTGTCAGTTTGTTAAGATAATCTTGCTGGGAAAACAAATTCAGGACTCATGTACGGGGACTTCTAGAGCCCTAGAACTCCTCAAGGCTCTTTACAACACACACACATTCACACCCTGGTGGTGATGAGCTGCCCTGGAGTGCACTGACAGAGGTGATTTGAGGAAACTCTTCCTGCAAGTCTACAAGCTTTCCTCTCTGCTCTTAAAGAAGCATGCTGAAGGAAACCAGAAGGGATCAGTGGCTGTCCTTGTGCCCTCTAGACTACTGTGGAGAACTTTGCAGGTCGCTTAACATTCATCACTAAGGTGAAAGCTAGGGATTGGAGCAGGAACATGTTTGTCTATATAAAAAACCAGAGACTGATGAACAGACATCAGACCCACCTGGAGAACCTGTCCCCTACTGAAGGAGTCTCCAGCATCTGTCTGTCTGGAATCTGGTTGTGTTGAGCTTTTCGTTCTCATTCTACAAAACTCCTTTGTAAGACGTGACCTCCATCTTCAGGTGTATGTGATGCCCTGCCAAACGTCCCAGCTGCTGGTGAACCTGCAGTACTTGGACCTGTCCAGCAACCTGCTGACTGACCTGACTCTAGCAGAAACGCTCTGTGACAAGAGCTCAACTCTGGAGGATCTCAGAGTTTTAAACATCAGCAAAAATCCTCTGAGGGTGAAGCCAAGAAACAAAGTCAAATCTTTGTCATTTACTGGTCTGAGATTTGAAGGTCTGTCTGTTTCTGTCCAGTCTTTGTCCAAGATGAACCGACTGGTAGCAAAGCTCACCAAACTGACCCACCTGGACATCAGTGGAACTGGATATAGCTCCATGCCTTCAAACTGCTCCTGGCCCTCCTCCCTGAGATACCTGAACATCTCTGGGGCTAAACTTACCAACACCAGTCACTGTTTGCACACAAACCTGGAGGTACAGCACCCATAGAAACATTCCAGCTGAGGTGACATTTTAAAACACGTCTCTGCTTCATTGTTTCCAGGTGTTGGATCTGAGCTTTAATGACCTCAAAAGCTTCAGCATGGACCTGCCGGTACTGAGAGAGCTCCACCTCTCTGGGAACAAGCTCCTGAGGTTACCATCTGGGCAGCACTTCCCCAGCCTACAGACTCTCTCCATACAAGTGAGGAACAATCTCAGATCTCTGTCAGCTCACCTGTTACCCACGTGACCCCTTCTGGTTTGTTTTACAGTCCAACACCCTGAACTGGTTCAGTTACTCAGACCTCCAGTCATTCAGGCGGCTTGAAGACCTCCGAGCAGGTCAGAACAAGTTAATCTGCTCCTGTGACTTTGTCCCCTTCCTTCAATCCCAATTGAGAGGAGAGGCAGGCATACAGCTAAGCGACAGGGAGGACAGCTACGTCTGTGACTCCCCTCTCTACCTGCAGGGGGCGGTAGTGAGTGGAGTCCGCCTCTCTGTCGTTGAGTGCCACCAGGTTGTATTTGTCTCTGTGAGCTGTGGGCTTGCTCTGTTTGTCGGGATGCTGGGGTCCGCTCTGCTTTGGCGCCTCCATGCCTTCTGGTACCTAAAGATGATCTGGACTTGGCTCAAGGCCAAGAGGAGCTCTCAGAAACGCCAGCGTCAGAAAGACACCGAGGACACAGAAGCGCTGCTGTGCTTCGACGCTTTTGTTTCCTACAGTGAACGAGATGCTGGCTGGGTGGAAAACTACATGGTGCCCGAGCTGGAGGAGCCAAGGTCAGTGTTTGTGTGTTAGGATGGTTCGCTCTAACCCTTTCCGTTTTAACTACAGCTTCCCTGTGTACTAGTTTAGCTAAAAACACAAAGTTTATTTATTTACATTACTGTTTTGTCCTTCAGATGAAATCACATTGCTGAGTCAAAAGCTTTAACTCACTTCTTTCTTCCTTCACAGGCTCCGCCCCCTTTTGGGGAAAAATCAACTGTAAGAAACAAAGTGTGTAAATATGTTTAAAAGCTGCTTTCTGACGTTTTTCCCATCAGATTTTACGTTCTGTAGTGATTAAAACCCATCTGGATTATTAGGGTCGTTGTTGGCTCCGCCCACAAGCAGGATGTTTTTGTCATATTTCTAAAAGCTGAGAACCATATGAGATGACAATATTGTGTGGCTTTAGTACAGACCTTCAGTAGATCAACAGATCTATAATCTGGTTTCATGGTTCCACTCTTACAGCAAAGAAGACTCTGGCATTCCCGGATCCTCCCACTCGCTGACCCTGTGTCTCCACAAACGGGACTTCCTTCCTGGACGCTGGATTATGGACAACATCATGAGCGCCATCGAGCGCAGCCGACGGACCATCTTCGTTCTCTCTGAGAACTTTGTCCAGTCCGACTGGTGCCGCTACGAGCTGGACTTCTCCCACTTTTGGCTCTTCGACGCCGGTGGAGACGCCGCCATCTTGATCCTGCTGGAGCCACTGTCCAAGGACGACGTTCCCAAACGCTTCTGCAAACTTCGTAAACTCATGAGCTCCACCACCTACCTTGAGTGGCCTCAGGAGGAGGAGAGGAGGCCGGAGTTCTGGAGGAGTCTGCGCGAGGCTCTGAGAGGAGAAAACGAGTGAAAATAAAAAAGGAAACCTGTCAAAAGTCAGAATATCGATTACAGAAAATACGATTTTAAAAGGCTGTTTAGCTCAAAGTGGGGCTAAAACCTGAACTATTGCAGAATCAGATTCTTATTTTTTTTCAGTTATCAAAGGAACTTTTATCTGAAAATTGTATTGTTTTTATATATTTTTATACTTATTTTAGAGTTTTTATTTCTTCCATCTGTATTTACTTTTCACAAAACCGTCTTTCAAATTTTTCCTCTTTCATTTCTTTATTAATAATAACAATAATAATAATAATAAACAGTTTTGCTGTCTTCTCTTGTAGCTTCTTTTCCCCCGTCATCTGAGGTTCACGTGTTTTTACATTTCTGTTGTCTGGATGGAGTTTTAATTTTGCTAATTTCAGACTATATGTATTAATAATGGTTTTTTTCTCTGATGTTTAATTGATGTTTAGAATCATTCAAAAGCAAATCCACAGGTGGTAGCAAGGACTTAATGTCCCACTTCTTCTTCCTGTAACTAATACACTGGCAGAAGATCTGAAAGTGTTTTAGTTCAGATTTAAGAAAAAAAAATCATAATAATAATAAACTATTAAATGCAGGAACATCCACATGTGTCTGTGTGTGTTTGTGTGTGGAAGAGGGTGATGTCTTTTATCACAAGTAGTCATAATCATTTATTTTTTTCATATCTTTCAATATTAAGTATTAATAATGAAACTAAAATAATTTCAGGGCAGATTATGGTCAGACTGGGGCCAACAATAATTTTATAGATTCATAATAAACTCTTCCTTATGTCGTGTAAAGGATATAATCTACAAACAGTAAAATAAACTGATGTTGATTAATTAGTCATTTACAGACCAATCAAAAAATTTCTTCTAAGACCAGATATTTAGTTTGACTGTAATGTCATAAAATGGTCACATGGTGGAGCTGTTCGTTCATTTATTTCCTTCTGATTCACCTGAAGGTTATTTGTCACCACATGGGGGCGTTACTGTGACCAAAGTGCTTCTAACTGAACATTAAACACAGAAATGTTCATTCTGTCAGAAATAATCTGTTTATTATTCATTCTAAACCAGATCTGTGATTTACACGGATCACATTACGCACCATCGTGAAAACCCAAGACCTCTAACCCAGATGTCTGAGCTGCAGACAGTCTGTGTTTAAACTCAGCATCATATCATAGATCAGCGGGATTAATCTGGTTTTAGTCCTTCTGACTCACCTTGCCCCTCCCTGCCAGATGAAGGGCCAGGAAGCAGCAAGTCTCCAGCTAGATGTTTGTTTTCCATTGATGGTCTGATTTGGAAAAGGGTAGAATGCCTTCTCCGGGTCAGGGATGAGGTCCTGCCCCAAGTGGAGGAGTTTAAGTATCTCGGGGTCTTGTTCACGAGTGAGGAAAAACTGGAGCATGAGATCGATAGGCGGATTGGTGTTGCATCTGCAGTGATGCGGGCGTTGTACCGGCCTGTCGTGGTGAAAAGAGCTGAGTCAGAAGGCGAAGCACTCAATTTACCGGTCGATCTACGTTCCTACCCTCACCTATGGTCATCAGCTTTGGGTAGTGACCGAAAGAACGAGATTGCGGATACAAGCGGCCAAAATGAGTTTTCTCTGCAGGGTGGCTGGGCTCTCCCTTAGAGATAGGGTGAGAAGCTCTGTCATCCGGGAGGGACTCGGAGTAGAGCCGCTGCTCCTCCACATCGAGAGGAGCCAGTTGAGGTGGCTTGGGGATCTGGTCAGGATGCCTCCTGGATTTCTCCCTGTTGAGGTTATCTGGGCACGTCCAACCAGGAGGAGACCTAAAGGAAGACCCAGGACACGGTGGAGGGACTATGTCTCTCACCTGGCCAGGGAACACCTTGGGATTCCCCCAGAGGAGCTGGCCCAAGTGGCTGGGGAGAGGGAAGTCTGGGCCTCTGGACTTATGCTACTGTCCCCGCGACCTGACTCCGGGTAAGCGGATGAAAATGGATGGATGGTCTGTTTAAAACTAAAGCATCATATATCAGCCATAAGATGGCAACTAGACTGAATGTTATATACGCTCCCCTATTTAGCCACCAGATGCCCTCAGCAGCTCCCTCCTCACCTGGTTCACTCACCCAGCTGTTTCCACTCAGTAATCATCCGGGCTACAGATAAAAGGCTCTCATCAGCATTCAGTCAGGGAGAAGGTCCTGGATAGTATTGACTCGGAGGAGTTGGTACTATTCTCTTCTCTTGGTGTGTTTGGCGGTTAGACTTAGAATCTCTCTCGTGTAACTTTGGTATTCGACGTGTTTTGGATTTAGGATCAGACCTTTTGGTAATTTGATTTCAGACCGGTTTTGGACATTGTATTTGGATCCCCCTTGAACTTTCCTGTTTATCAGGACTGCTCTTCTTATTAGTACGTTTCTGTCAGTTAATCCCCAACCCCTTCTGGGTTGGCGTTTTCCGTTCTCCCTTTTTGTAGATAGCTCCTTTAGTTTTGTATATAGATAATATTATTATTGTTGTACCCTTTTGTAATAAAATCCCTTGTTTAGCAACACAGCACTTTGTTTTTATTTCACCCACTCACCCATTTTATTACTCCCCCTATCTTATCACTCCTAGAGAGCCGGGGACGTAATACTGAAGTATAACCACTTTCTCAGGTACACTACACCTCTCTGGTACCAGGCTGGACCTACTACCTTCAGAACCTCCTCAGTTCTTGGTGTCACAGATCCACCCAGGTGATGTAAAGGTTCCTCAGAGGTTCTGGTCCAGCCTGACATGACAGCATCAACTCCATCCATGATGAGAATGTTCCCCTACATCCCAAAGGTTCTGGACTAGACTGAGATCTGGTGAATGTGGAGGCCGCTGGGAGGCCACTGACCTCATGGTCATGTTCTAGAAACCAGTTAGAGATGGTCTGAGCTCACATGGTGCTGGAGTAGCCATCAGAAGATGGGTAAGAGTTAGGCTGTGGCTGAAATCCAGACTAATCCAACCAGGAAAGGTTTTCCAGTCTGTTCTGGCCCACTTCTGGTGATCCTGTGTGGATCGTAGCCTCAGAGACTTGTTCTTAGCTGACAGGAGAGACACCTGGTGTGGTCTTCTGCAGACCTTGGTGGGAACCAGAACTGTTTACTTTCTCTATAGAACCAGTCTGGCCAGTCTCCGCAGAGACGGACTGGAAGAGGGATAATGGGAGTGATCCTAATAAAACAACATGAATCATCCTCAAACCTGTTTGTGTAGAACGTGTGAAAACAACTTCCCACCAACAGGAGCCACAGTTAGGAGTTACAGCAGCTGTAGCCTGCTCTGTAGATGATGACAGCAGGAATGTGGAGAACAAAGAACTTACCTAGATCCGACTATGAAATTACATTTAAAAACAAATTAACCAGAAATAAAATAAAAAACAAGTGACAGAATAGAAAAGGTAACTTTTCTACTGGTTAAAAAGTTTTTATTGATCAGGTTGTTAAAAATTAAAGATATTGGCCCGAGGCAAAATTCCTTTCAATGGCGTGTGTAAAGAAGTAATAACACTCAGATGAAAAAGGTTTTGGATTTTTTAAAGGAAAATCTGATGTTTTTGACTAGACTAAAACAGAAACTAGCTTCCGGTCTAAGCCCTGGGCAGCTGGTGACGTTTAAGTAGGAGGTCTGCTCACACAGCCATAGTAAACAATCGTCAACTCTGGTGTTTCTGCGTTAGCGTTATAGCAAAGAACAATGTGTAATCTATCAGATGTAGCTTTGGAAGACTCTGCTAGTTAGTCAGATTCGTTTTTTCTCTGGGATATGGCGACGAGAATGGATACTGGATTACTCGAGAAGTTCAACCGATATAACTGTGGAAAATATTTAACCGATAGCTTACCGGAATGAATCTTCCTGATGCTGGAGTAGCTACTGAGGTTTGACTCGTTGTTTGCACTAATCCAGGACCAGCAGAGCCTCAGAGCTCATATTTTAGATTGTATATATGTGTGTGTGTGTCGTAGCTTTCCCAAATGACTTGTTTTTTCCTTACCGGAGCTAACACGGTTAGCAGTGTTGCTGCAGTCATGCTAACGGGACTCTGGAGTCCAAAAGTACTGGTGTGGTTCCAGATGGATTTATAGATGTAGGTTATTATTTTAGATCAGACCTATGCTGTTTAAAAATGTGTGTAGGACACGGACATGTGGCTCAGACCTTTTGCTGCAGCTGTAAACGCAATTTTCTGTAATAATTAAGAGCATGAAAGTTTAAAAAAGCTTCTATTCATAATGTACTAGCGGAAGCAGCTTCCTTGTTTTACGTGTTTGTGTGACATATGCGAAACACAGCTGTGCTGTTAATGTTGAGGCAGCTGTCAATTTAGCACCCCCAAGAGGTGGGACATGGAATGACATCACAGGAAGTAGGAAGTTTATGGATATTTACATGAGGTTTTATGGCTGACAGCAATCCACATGAATCTGCTTCAATCCTTGGTCTTTCAAGTTATCGTCTGTATGTATGTTTTTTATTTTTACTTCTCTCTAGTTCTATGACATTTTGTAACACCAAGGAAGTTTATTCTGTAACCTTTATAACTTGTTTATATAGATGGTAAAGTGTAGTTACACTGAATATTAATGCAGACTCTGGCCAATATCTTTAAACAGATACAGTGAAATGAATAAGCATTTTGCATTGGGATAAAAAATACAATAAAAAAGCTACAATCAGACTATAATCCATTTCTGTCAGGGAAGAGTAAAATAACACTGGATCAGATGGTTTTAGGTGAGTAAAATCTAAATAAACATGATGCTTAAAGAGCAAGTCACCCCCAAATCAACTATTTTTTTCCTGATAAACTATATAAATGCGTGTCTATTCGTGCTGCAGACACGTGTAGTCAATGGTTTTGCAAGTTAGTGCATTTTAGTTAAAATTTTTATTTTCTGCCTAAAACTGTCAGTGTTCTGCCGTTGTCAGGTAAAAATTCTGCGCTGCATTTGAATTTAAATCTGCCATCTCTATTGGCTAAGAGGTACCCTAGAATGTTAGCTGGTACATCATGATGTCACAATGTCGTTGTGAGCCTGTGTGTGTGTATTTGTTAGCGGCTCCGCCCTCTCGGTCGGCTAGGCAACAGCGATTGTTGCATTTTTCAAACAGGAAGTGGGAGTTGAGTAAGAATCTGGTATGGGGTGACTTGCTCTTTAAACAGCAAAACATCAGTAGTACAGTTTACAGCCTTAGAACAGTAAAATAAAGCTGAAATCAAAGAGAACCCCACAACAACATTTTCTCCATGACAATAAAACAATAAAAATGTGAATTTCTAAACTTGCATAGCAACCATACTAAAGCTTAATTATCCAAACCTCTGATCAGTTTTCCACCGAGGTCTGGATAAAGTGTGCGAAGCATGAATATTAGAGACATAAGTGTGGAGTTAATGTTAGTATGTTAACTTGCATAATCAGTGGTCAAGCTAATCTGAGCTCAGGTAATAGTGAAACCAACAGACGGTTAAAAATACCCAACTTTTTTATAAGGCACTTATTAAAACAAGAGAAACTCAAAAAAGCAAAAACAGCAATAATCACCTGAGAATAATAAAACCCATTTGATAAAAAATATAAAGGTCACTCTTAAAAAGATTTTATCTCCAGAGACGTTCTGGTAAAAATAAAGAAGGGTTTGGTATGTAATTCCAGATAAGGGCCATGAGTTGGTGCCTGACATATCAGCTACATCTGTCCCTAGTGAGACCGGGGACATTGCAACTGCTGACAGATCTGTCCTTAGTAGAAAATGTGGACAAATCATTATTTCTGGCAACATGGAACACAAATGAACCTGAACAAGGTACAAGCTGGAACTCTAACCGTTACACTTAAAGACACAATGTGTAGTTTTTATCGTTACTCTATGGAAATTTCCCTCGAAATGTTCAAAACGAATTAAATGATGCGCAGTTGTTGAAAAATATTGGCAGCTTTGTAGCATATAACCGTAAAAACCGGGTCTAAAATACGTGGAGGCGGGTCTAAGTCTCCGGGCGACGCCGTGTTTTCTTCTACTTGAGCCCGTGAGGACAAATGCATTGACTGATTTGTAACAAACGGTTACAGTTTCATCATTCATCATTGATAACTGAAGCTTGGGCCTGATTGAGTCCTGAAGCAACATCAGACACAAAGGATCTACAGCAGGACAGCTGAAAAAGACCGAGTCAAGGTGGTGTAACTGTCCCGTCCAGGTCCACACCATGGTGGGAACCTAAAGGACTGGGCAGAAACAAATGTCTGCCCACCTAATGAAGTGAAGTATACAAGAAGTTCAGAGAAACTGATCAAATTTAAACAGAAGCTTTTACTCAAGGTCACTGTTGCTAAAGGTTTACAAGCTGTCGGCTCGTAGGTAGGCGTACTGGTCTGTTCCAACTCATTCTTCCTCCATTGGCTCAACCTCAAGTATCTCTTTCAGCTTCTCATTGTCTGTCACTAACTCCTTAACTCTGTCCAGAATCTGTATGTTTCCACTTGTCTTCAGATCCCAGACAAACTTTTCAAATATAGCAAGAATAGGTTGGGCGTACTCAATCACGCTGTTCTTCTCTACGAACTCGTAATAAAATCCTGCCGTGTGGAGCCCAAAAAGCTGCCCGTGAGCATCAAACACCGGAGAACCAGAAGCTCCGTGATACATGTAAGTGTGGTAAGTAGACACGTCTTCTTTATCTCCACCCATAAATATTTCTTCAATGCCTTGATCCTTTATTTGATTTATTATCTGGACAACCATCATTGTGTCCAGGTAACGAGCCAAATGGTCATTAACAGCCTGTTCTCTTTTCTCAGGCTCAATGATACATGTGGAGTCTATTTTTTTCACTCCTCCTGCTGGATGACCAATAATACAAGCCTCACCATTCTCAGGCTTTGGACCAAGTTTCCCCAGAAGCCCTGGAGGTACTTTTATATTCTTTGTGTTCTTTTGTTTGTTAAGCTTTTGGCCTTCAGGTTCGAGCTCAAGTACAGCATAGTCCAGCTCGGTATCAAAGTTTATCAGCGACTTTACAATAAAGTGGAAGTAACTGATGTCTGGCTCTGGTTTTTCATAGTTAAACAGAGCATGGACTTTAATGTGCCCCTTTAGCTTGTTTCCTTTCATGCAACCTTTAAACAGATGAGCATTGGTCAGAATGAAGTTGTCAAACAGCACAAAACCAGTTCCCTGACAAACGTTTTCCACAATTACTTTACAAACTGACTTTCCCATTTCTAGCAGCGTTTTGATTCTGTGAACTTCACTGAAAGCCTGCTGAATCTTTCCAAAGTTCTCCTTCCTCAGGTTCAGTTGTTTCTGATAAGACCCTTCAGGAAACTTACACTCCATCAGTCTTTTCAAATCTGGAAACTGCTGACGCAGTAGTTCATGGATCTCCTCAATATCAATGCTACCTCGCTCTTGCATTGCTCTTTTCACACTTTTTCCACTTTGACTCATTACTTCTGACATGGATCTAGTTGACTTTTCAATACCTTGTCTTTTATTCAGTGGAAGGCAGATCTTGAATGTTTTCTGGTGGAGGTTGTCCACCTTCTGAGTGCAAAGAGTGAGGAGATTGGGGTTCTCATTATCAGACAACTCGAATTCTCCAAGAGACATGAATCGACCGTCTCGCATCAGAGCCTCCTTCACAGTTATCCCTTTCACCCCATAAACACAAAGCTTCTTATACTGTTTGGATATTTTGCTCCTAAACAGGTCTTTGGTTTTAGTGTTAAGACCTCCCACTGTATCGATGTAGAAGACAGAGTATTTGTCTTGCGGGTGTACTTCTGCATCACGTTCCTCCAAAACCTCAACCTTTTCTGATTTGCATGATATAATCAGAGATTCACCATCAGGAACACAGGTACAAGGGAAGTGAGTGGCAAGTATTGACTCCCTATCTTCTTTACCCATCTGAATGATAATGTTCTCATCTGCACATGTTGGCATCTTCTCATGAGTACTAAGAGTGGATTTGATTGCCTCCAGCACTGTGCGTGGTTGATCACAATCAATGTAGTACTCCTTTTGGTCAGACGGACTCAATTTCACGGTGAAATGGTGTAAACGTGAGACCTGCAAGATAATAAAGTGAGACCATTTGAATCTGATATGCAACAATTACAGTTTTCAGCATGCAATTGTGTTTTTCCTCACCACATAATCACCACCGTCCTCATTCTTCACTCTCAGCGGAGTGCATGTTGGAGTCTGCAAATTTAGAAAATGTTTAGATTTCCTGTAAAATCTCTGACAGAGGTCTTCAGTATCACCGGGTTATGCTAGTTTTATGACTACACGGTCAGTGGAGCTTTCATGGAGTCAGTAACCTTGAGATTTTTGCTAAGACTAGCTAAATAATATTCCTGGAATGCTATGCTAAGTGGTGCCAAACAGAAGTGGCCATACATCATTCACAACAATGCAGTTAAAATGTTCTTGCTTGGAAAAGAACAAATATAATAATATACTAATTTTGTGACATAATCAAATCCACCATGCAGTGCAATATGGTCACGTGTGTCATCAGTGCAAATTTAATAAAGATGTGAAGTAAGGCTGAGCAATCTATTGCTTTCTGATCAAAATTGCACTTTCAAAAGACTCAATCGTGATCGTCAAAGCAGCAGTTTTTGCAGCATTCCTTGTCACGTTGAGGGTTGGGGAAGTAGGACCCAAAATGCAGATACCCAGAACGACATGAGGCAGGAGTAGATGTAAACAAAAACATTCCTTTATTAGGATAACAAAACAAATAAAATAAATCCAAGCGGGCACATAGGCAAAAAAATCCTAGAAAACCTGAAGACCTAGAAACCACGAAGGAGGGGGGACAAAACAACGCCGACACGAAACAATGAACCAACGCCACAATGAGACGCAGACAGGGTTAAATACACTGTGGCAGGATGATTGGGAGATAAGCTGCAGGAGCATGGGGAGAGAAACCTAGTGAAATAAATTAACTAATCAGGGAGAGGAAAGTGAGCTGAGGAGGGGAAAATAACATGACCTAAGAATAAAAACAAAACCTAAAGACTAGAAGAGCAAGATAAATAACTAATGATCTAAGGAGGGAGGAGAACTAAAAAACCGGTGGGGAAAGAAACACAATAAAAGAGACTAATTAAATGAAAAGCTGGACCTATAGGAAAACTACAGAGGGGTGACTGGGGGAGACCAATGGGAGCACAGGACCTGGGGGGATACCTCGGGGGAGAACCTGGAGGGGGCCGCAGACAAGAGGACACATGAGGAACACAAGAAGACACATAAGGGGATCCTAAAGGGGGATGGAGAACACAAGGAGACACATGAGGGAGATGCTTATGCAGATCATGGCACTCCTGACTGATCCAGAATCTGTTGTCAATTGGTTTACACATACAGGGTTTTCTCCCGGTTGTAAACTAGTTACGGTGTCGGTACAAGATCTGCTCGGGTGCAAAATTGGCTCGGGGTCCGTCGACTGCCGATGATGTCTAAGTAGTTGATTGGCTGAACATGAACCTTACGGAATTACGTATTCACGTTACGTTGTTATCACGTTACGTTGGTCCAGGCAAATCTTTCTGTTGGAAAGATGGACAACTTTTACAAAGAAATCCATCATTACCTCTTTGAAAATACACTTTTAGCATAGAGCTGCATGTATATTAGGGCTGAACGATTAACTGCATGCGCAATTAAATTGCGATGTGACAAAAGGAGATTTTCCAATCGCAAAGGCTGCAATTTGGCAGCGAGTGGTTAGCGCAATGCTAATATACATGGAAAAACCCATAGGAATGCTAATGCTAATATCACCGATTATATTATTACAAATTATGAAGTAGAAACCTGTCAAATAATTACATTTGGAGTCTAATAGAAAGTAAAACTACCATCAATCAAATAAGTACAGACAGGTATTTTAGTGAAGCCAGAAAACTTTTAACTCCAGAGTTTTGGCTAGCAGCTATGAGCGTAACTGGACTACACATGGATAAGATGTCAAAAACTTTAAACACAAAATACTTCAATAAACGGGACACATTTCTTTCCTGCAGATACAATTTCACAGGTGTTGCTAATACCTATGATCCTTCAAGGGATGTGCTCAAAGAGGAGGTCAACATTATGAATACAATATAGTGTTTTATTTTACAAATACCATTATAAACACAAACTTACGTCTTAGGGAAACATGATTTTAATAACGAAACTGCTAAATTCTTTCCAACAGTATAGATGTGTAGTGTATTTTGTCCGAGTGGGTTTGCCGTACTTTGACGTCATCGGCAGTCGAAGGACCCCGAGCTAATTTTGCACTCGAGCAGATCTTGTACCGACACCGGCGGTAGCAGCAAGCTTGTAAGGACGCTACACAGTAGATCGTTTATCTTTCTTTTTTTTAATTTTTTTTGCGTGGATTTCTGTACTATGGATAATGTAACTCTGCACCACTTGTTATTGAGAGCGAGAGAGGGAAAAAAATCATCCGTCAGCTTCCAATAAGAGCAGAAAGGACTTTACCGTTAGAACTCAATTTTTGAATCGTCCTGATGGCACAAGCCACTGCAGAATTACAGTTTGAGCATTTCATATTCTCCTAGCTTGGTAAGTTGTAACAGTCAGCGTTTGGGGCTTGTAGCTCAGTGTGTCCCCTACGCCTGACACTCCAGTGCCATGGCTATGAAATCCCACCCCCTGGGAGGTGCACGGAAGCGAGATGTGAGAATAATACTGTAGTCGTGAGCAGGATGCAGCTGGAGTGTTCAATCAGCACCATCCGTCCTTGAGGAGATGCAGGAGGGTTAGGCGCAAGAGAGGCACACTGGCTTGGACAAGGAACGGAGTTACTAAAGAATTTTAATCGATCATCTCTGTGGTTGGTGTGTGTCACTCCCGAAAACGGCGTCAGTTACAGTATAACTTCTTATTCCGGCTCTTGGAGGGTGCAGACGCTTTTCTTCTCCTCTCCTCCATATCTTATCCTCAAGGCCTTTGTCTGTCTGTGTGTGCTGGGTGCACGGCTGCTTCAGCATTTTTTCTGGAAACTGAAATTCACTAAAATGGATCTCGTCAGTTGGTCACTCAACGCGGTTGATAAAATTTTTCAACTATGAGAACGGGAGAAGGGGCTCCCGGATGCCCCTCCGGGACAGACCAGCTGTCTGTGGAGGACTCTGAAGATGTGTGGATATTCGTGGTGTTGGTGTCAGGTTTCCTGCTCATTGGCCTTGGAGGCTACCTGGCTTACCGGAAAATTAATGAGCAGTCGAGGAATAATGGCCGGATCCCGGAGCTCAGAGATGGTTTGCACCGCGCTGTGAATTCACAGACTCACATAATTGTCGAGATGAATCGTAAGCTTGGGACTTTGGCCGGGTTTCATTCATTGGCACAAAGATGGATGCCATCAAAGAGAGTGGACGAATCAGCACGGATTGGGATAGATTAATGTCCATTATTGGGATTTTGAGAGGTTGAGGACCAACAAACTGTAAGACAGAGAGGAAATTATCTCTGTCTGGCCCCAAAACAATTTCTAATCGGAATCTGGCACCCTTGAGCCAGCAAGGCTCCAACGAAAACTCCCCCCTCAGAAGATATGTGGAATGTGCCGTTGCTATGGCAACTCAACTCTGTCTCCTATCCCAGCCTGGGTGGGACTGCGGGAAGGCCGCTGAAACGTTCCAGGGTCACTGCAACCCTCCAACCCTCAATGCTCCTCCCCCATCCACACTGAGGTGACATGCGCTGCATATCGTGGCTGCAGGAACTGAAGTGGGGATAGTCCCAACCCACCACCCCACCTAGTGGACACTTCTGTTGTGTTGTCTGACATTTGTTGCATATCTGTTTGAGGTGTTTTTTTTTTTGCAGAGCAAAGCTGCCCTCCCCATGGAGAGTAACTCTACAGTGCCTTTTTCCCTCCACCTGAACCAATCCTCATGTAACCCTCTTATCTCTATTAAGGTAGCACGACTCAGGGTTGCGAATGACCACAGTCACCAATTCTTGTCATGTGTCTTGCCCATGTATGTCTGATCTCTGAATTGTGTGTACTGAAATTCTAATTTCCCTCTGGGATTAATAAAGTATCTTTGATTTGATGGGCCCCTAGTGATAATCCTGCCTTGTCTGGGATATTGAATGAAAGGTTGTCATAAGCCAATTATAAAAAATAAAAGCTTGAAATATCTGGTTTTGCATGGAATGAGTATATCTCATGTTTTAGTTTCACCTTTTAAGTTGGATTACTGAAATAGATTAACTTTTTCACCATTTTCTAATTTTTCCTTGTTTCCACTGTAAAAAAGGGGTGGCCACATGGTCCTAGTTACTAGGTGGAAACACCTTGGAACCGGGTTGCGCTGTGCTGAGCAGACACTGGTGGTAAAAGCCCATTAGACTAAACTGATTTCCGTGATCACAAGACTTTCCTTTGTTGAATTCATGCAACCAACTCATTTTAGGGACAGAAGAAGAGCAGATTTGTATGACTTTTTTTTCTCTGCTTATTTGGGGAACTTTTTTCAGAACTTATGTAGATTATAAAACCCTCTTATCTTGACCAGAGCGGTTTTTAGAAATTACAGGTGGTGGGCATAAAATTAGAATATCATGACAAAGTAGATTTATTTCAGTAATTTGATTCAAAAAGTGAAACTTATATATTAAATTCATTCATTACACACAGACTGATATATTTCATATTTGTATTTCTCTATTGTTGATGATTAAAACAGACAACTAATTAGAATCACAAATGCAGTATCTAAGAAAATTAGAATATCAGTTAAGACCAAAGCAAAAAATGAATGTTAGAAATGTTGGCCAACTGAAAAGTATGAATATGAACAGCACTCTGTCTCTTGTTCAAGAGTGGCTTGACACAAGGAATGCGACAGCTGAAACCAGGTCTTTCATACATGCGTGGTGGTTCTTGAAGCACAGACTCCAGCTGCAGTCCACTCTTTGTGAATCTCCCCCACATTATTTCCTTTTCACAATATTCTAATTTTCTGAGATACCAAATAGCTTAATATTGAGTGCTGTACATGTTCATAATATTCAGTTGGCCATCCATCCATCTTCTTCCGTTTACCCGGAGTCGGGTCGCGAGGGCAACATCCTAAGTCGAGAGGCCCAGACTTCCCTCTCCCAGACCACTTGGGCCAGCTTTTCCGGGGGAATCCCAAGGCGTTCCCTGGCCAGGCGAGAGACATAGTCTCTCCAACGTGTCCTGGGTTTTCCCTTTGGGTCTCAGTTGGACGTGCCCAGAAAATCCCAACAGGGAGGCGTCCGTGGCATCCTGACCAGATGCCCGAGCCACCTCAGCTGGCTCCTCTCTACGTAGAGGAGCAGCGGGTCTACTCCGAGCCCCTCCCGGTCCCGCATGACCGAGCTTCTCACCCTATCTCTAAGGGAGAGCCCAGACGCCCTGTGGAGAAAACTTATTTCGGCCACTTGTATCCACAATCTCGTTCTTGCAGTCACTACCCAAAGCTCGTGACCATAGGTGAGGGTGGGAACGTTGATCAACTGGTAAATCAAGAGCTTCGTCTTCTGGCTCGGCTCTCTCTTCACCACGACAGACCGGTACAACGCCCGCATCACTGCAGATGCAGCACCAATCCACCCGTCAATCTCACGCTCCAGCTTCCCCTCACTCGTGAACAAAACACCGAGACACTTAAACTCCTCCACTTGGGGCAGGACCTCATCCCTGACCCGGAGAAGGAATTCTACCCTTTTCCGACTCAAGACCATGGTCTCAGATGAGACTCAGAGGAGCTGATTCTCATCCCAGCTGCTTCAGCTGGCCGCTAATTCTAAAATAATTTTTTTTCTAAATTGGTCTTAACTGATATTCTAATTGTCTGATATGCTGAACTAGGGATTTTCTTTAGTTGTCAGTTATAATCATAAAATCAACATTTAAACATACCCGTCTGCGTGTAATGAATGCATCTCTGAAGTTTCTCTTTTTGAATGGAATTATTTTTTTTAAAAATCAACTCTAATTGTATGACCAGCACCTGCATTTAAACTGCTCTGTTGCATTGACTTGGATCTTAGTTTCATCTGTTTCCCACATCGATACAGTGGGATGCGAGAGTTTGGGCAGCCTTGTTAATCCTCAGGATTTTCCAGCATAAATCGTTGAGTGTTACGATAAAAATTTCAGTTAAATATATCATCAACACACACAGTGATAGTTGAGAAGTGAAACAAAGTTTATAGGATTTACAGAAAGTGTGCCATAGTTGTTCAAAAATAATAGGCAGGTGCATAAATGCAGTTGGTTTTTTGTTAAAATAAGGTTGGAGGTTTATTCTTTCTGCCTGTGGATCAGCTGATCCGCGGATCGGATGGCTGTGTACAACACAGAGCAGAGAGAGAGTGCTTTAAAAATCCTATTTTATTACTAAATGGAACTTTTAAGTTAATTTAATGAGTTGATTTATTTTTTATCGTGCCTAAATGTATGCACCTGTCTAGTATTGTTTAAACAAATATTGCTTTATCTTAACAACAAACAATTTACACAGGAAAAACGTGAAGGCTGCCCAAACTTTCTCATCCCACTAATTATTTCACATGTGGGATTGCAGGATCAGTCCCAGCTCCCTGCAGGGAATTCTGTTGTGTCCATGGGTAAAGGGCTTCACCGTGAGCATGAGGGTGGGAGTGTGTGACCATCTGTCAGGTAGGGTCTTGGACACTTCTCCTCTCCTGGGACATCTGGAGGTGCCACAACATCTTGGACTACCCTCCCCCTGCCACATTTCCTGCTGGTGGGTGGTGTCTCGTCTGCCTGCGTGTTTACAGCTCTCGTGTCTGGGGCTGCTGGACGTTTTTGGTATCTGGCGGCTTGCTCCCGGTGGCTTCCTGGTGGGGTCTGGATCCCTGGGCTCTGTCGGGTCTCCGTTAGGGTTGGGTGCTCTTGGGTCCCGGGTTGCTGCGTTCTGAGCTCTGGCTGCCCTGGAGTGGGCGGCTGAGGGCAGGCCTGGGGGCTTGCTATCATTTCCTGGGTTTCTGGCACGGCTCCCGGTTAGCCCCTCTGCGGTGATCCTCTGTGCCTCTCGGGAAGGGGGCTGCAGCCTCTCCAGTGGCAGTCTCCCTGTTCCGGGGGAAACCCCTGGATCTCTGGGGCTTGGAACCCCTCCATCTCTGCGAGTCTTTGGGGGCACTCAATATTAGGCACTCCCATAGAGAAACTTTACAAACTTAAGTGCATGTAAGCCAAGATTTGAAAAGTTTTGCATTTTTTAATTAGTATTTATATATATTTTTTGTTTTTACGTCCAATTTAAAAAACTGTAGCTGAAGCTGTAACGCTCCACCTGTGAGAGTAAAACTGTAAGGCTTGTCTTCGGCACTCAGACGTCATTCTGATCGCTTTACAGCCGGACAGGACGTGCAAAAGAAAGGACACTTCACCCTAGCCTGCTGGTGGTGGTCGGAGGGACTGGTAGCACCTGTGTACAGCAGCCTATCAGAGCGTCACAGGGCAGCTGTGGCTCCATTGTAGCTCATCACCACCCATGTGTGTGAATGGATGAGTGATACACTGTAGTGTAAAGCACGTTGGAGTCCTCTGGCTCTGAAAGGCGCTACAAGTGCGGGTCATTTAACAACGCTGTCTAAATAAAACAGGTGTTCAGTCCCGTCATCAGCCTGCAGCTCACCTGAGGCTCTGGCTGTTTCCCAGGTGTGTTACAGGAAGTGCCAGGAACACTCTGTTAAAACGAGACCAGTACACACAGATTAGCTGAATATGGAACCACTAATTCAGCATAAACAATTGTCAACAGGAATCCTGTAATTAAACACAATTTCACTGATATTTCTGTCTTTAAAGGTGAAGAACACTGAAAACCTATTTTAAATATTTATTTCTGATAATAATCCATCAAGAGTTTTTCATGCAGGCTGAACATGAAAATAAGTCTCCTACACCTATCTCCTGCAATAGCTTCTGATAGATACAGACGGTGAAACTCTAGGATTAGGAAAGCCTGACAGATCTACATCACACTGAATGCTCACGGACAGTCACGTCAATCAGCGCTTCACAGACGAAACAGACTTAACAGTGAAAACGAAAGATGAGTGCTGTTGCTTTATCGCTCATTTTGCGGGTAAATGGCTCTCGTGTTATCGACCAGAAGGACAAACTTTGCACAACTTGTCCCAGCGTGGAGCTGCTGCTACAGAAAGGCATGTTTCCGGTAATAACCACAGGTTTACTGACCTTCCTTGGAACGGTGAAGGCTCGGATGTCCGGCTGTTTGTGTCCAACCTTGAGCCTTTTGGGAGCCATGTCCACCTGCCAGCGCAATGAGAAAGTTAAAGCCTGATCATTTAAAATAAACTTCTTTAAGGCCTTCTGATCCACCTTTCCTTGGACAGGGGAAGATTTTATGAAATACATAATCAGCTGTGTGTTCTAATTTTAGACACATTTAAGGAAGTACTCGTGGTACGAGAAAACGGTCCGGGAGGTCCACGAGTCAAACATGGTCAGAAACACTGTTATTATCGACAAGAATAAAAGAAACAATCAAAATGTTTTTGCAAGCTTCTATTGTTTAGCTCTTTAGTATTTTCTGCATTAAACAGCTAGAGGTTTGTAGTAAAAAGTTAAGAAATAGTTATTAAGGTTTTATAACTGTAGGTAAAATAGGTGCACCAGAACGCAGGAAGTGGCATCAACAGCATTTGTTCCAGGGGAACTCGCCTACACACACACACACACACACACACACACACACACACACACACACACACACACAGTTTTTATGCTTCCAACGCCCTTCCTGGGGCATAAATAACCCTAGGGCAACGCCTCGACTCATAATGGACCCATTTACGGTTTTCAATGTTTCAACGTTCATTAAGGTTCTTTCCTGTGACCTGCTCCTGTAATGATTAGTTGAGCTGACTAGTGTTTGCTTAATTTATGGGGACTAACGTGATTTATCATCATCTTATCCATAAATCTTTACTCACGGGTTTCCTGCCTGGATCAAAAGTGGAGAAATGAGTTGAAAATGGGAGGAAGGAGCCGAAGGTGAAGACTGAGACCGGGTAAAGTACTTATTCTGGGTTTCTAACTGAGCTTTTTACCCACTGCTGCTGATCCTCTCCTGTGACTTCTCTCACCAACAGCAAGCTCCTGGGAGAATTTTTGAAATGGCGCCTCACAAGAACCAGAGCAGTGAACGAATCAGTAACCACTAAAACATGTTGCATTCACTGGAAACTGGAATTTAGAAAGTTACATCACCTAACAGCTATAAGAGGTTAGCATTGTTGCTCTAAAACTCACATTTTTGCATGCTTGTTATTATTTATCGTTTAATCTGGGCTTCTGTCTACACCCAGGCTTTCATTGTGTATACTGATAATAAGAGATGTCTAAAAAAAAAAAAAAGCTTGTAAGTCATATTACCTGATGTACATGAATGCAACACAGAATTGTCAGTAGTGAAGATGCATTCAGGTGCAACACAACTTTTACAAAACGAAAGTAGTGCTGAAAAAAACAACAGTTCCTGATAATTAGTGTAACTTTAAACCAAGATGTTGTAATTTACCAGGTGAGTTCATGTTCAACAAAAAGTAAACATTACTTACCGTAAATCCTCTAATATTAGCCTGTATTGAATTAACTGCCGGGTATCATATTTTGGCCGGTGTCGGAGTCAGCGGAGGTGAATAATGGCCGTTTTTTATTGTGGCCGGGTGGAATGTGGTAACAAGCAAGCACGGGGGGGGGGGTGGGGGGGGGGGGGGGTTGTGTCATCCGTCTCACTTTTGATTTGCCAGTGACAGACCACAAGGGTAACTTTAACCGTGCAGAGACAAAGAGGAGGCGAAAATTTGATATCAAGTTCAAAGAGAACGTGCTGATTATGCTGCAGAACACTCTGGGGAGCAGTAGCAGGGGTTGTATGAACTAGTCACTAGTCGACTTCACCGCTCTATAGTGACTTGTAATGCCTGTCATCGACTAGTCGCTGTCACGTGATAATGACCGGCAAGATGCAGTCCACGGAAAAGACAGCAGCCTGCTGTCAGCAGGTGACAAGCTCCTGCTCGTCGGGAGGCAACGCGCTGTGCCAGAGCGTCGGTACCGACACCCGCCGTAAAACGGACATTTAACCAAATTGTGACCTTTACCCTCTTGCAATTTAACCTTCCCCTCATCCCCATCCTAACCTTAACCAGCTTGCGCATGCAAAGCTCTGATTGTTGACGCACTCCAGACATCTGCGTCCTGAGCATGGCCACAGTAACGTTATCAAATCAGGTGTCGCCACCTCAAAAACTAATTTAACACGCGATCGTTCATGTCGGCTCATTTACTTTTATGTTTTCTTCTTTTATTTGTGTCTGATGCCTTTCGCTGCTGCGGATCGGGGCGCATCACCTGTTTTGTCCTCGGTGACGCACCTAACTGATGTGGCCGGGAGCACTCCGCTGTTTTTGCGGTCGGTAGATCTTTTAGAACTGCAGTTCAAAGGTAACTCATGAGGTGAATATATACAGGTGCTGGCCAGTAAATTAGAATATCATCAAAAGCTTGAAAATATTTCAGTAATTCCATTCAAAACGTGAAACTTGTACATTATATTCATGCAATGCACACAGACCAATGTATTTCCAATGTTCATTACATTTAAATTTGATATTCATAAGTGACAACTAATGAAAACTCCAAATTTGGTATCTCAAAAAATTAGAATATTCTGAAAAGGCTGAATATAGAAGACACCTGCTGCCACTCTAATCAGCTGATTTACTCAAAACACCTGCAAAGGCCTTTAAAAGGTCCCTCAGTCTTGTTTTGAAGGCACCACAATCATGGGGAAGACTTCTGACTTAACAGCTGTCCAAAAGACAATCATTGACACCTTGCACAAGGAGGGCAAGACACAAAAGGTGATTGCTAAAGAAGCTGGCTGTTCGCAGAGCTCTGTGTTCAAGCACATTAACAGACAGGCGAAGGGACGGAAAAAATGTGGTAGAAAAAAGTGTACAAGCTCTAGGGATAACCGCACCCTGCAGAGAATTGTGACGACAAACCCATTCAAAAATGTGGGGGAGATCCACAAAGAGTGGACTGCAGCTGGAGTCAGCGCTTCAAGAACCACCACGAGGAGACTCATGAAAGACATGGGATTCAGGTGTCGCATTCCGTGTGTCAAGCCACTCTTGAACAAGAAACAGCGCAAGAAGCGTCTCGCCTGGGCCAAGGACAAAAAGGACTGGACTGATGCTGAGTGGTCCAAAGTTATGTTTTCTGATGAAAGCAAGTTCTGCATTTCCTTTGGAAATCAAGGACCCAGAGTCTGGAGGAAGAGCGGAGAAGCACAGAATCCACGTTGCATGAGGTCCAGTGTAAAGTTTCCACCGTCAGTGATGGTGTGGGGTGCCATGTCATCTGCCGGTGTTGGCCCACTCTGTTTCCTGAGGTCCAGGGTCAATGCAGCCGTCTACCAGGAAGTTTTAGAGCACTTCATGCTTCCTGCTGCTGACCAACTTTATGGGGATGCAGACTTCACCTTTCAACAGGACTTGGCACCTGCACACAGTGCCAAAACCACCAGCACCTGGTTCAAGGACCATGGTATCCCTGTCCTTGATTGGCCAGCAAACTCGCCTGACCTTAACCCCATAGAAAATCTATGGGGTATTGTGAAGCAGAGGATGCAATACGCTAGACCCAACAATGCAGAGGAGCTGAAGACGACTATCAGAGCAACCTGGGCTCTCATAACACCTGAGCAGTGCCACAGACTGATCGAGTCCATGCCACGCCGCATTACTGCAGTTATTGAGGCAAAAGGAGCCCCGACTAAGTATTGAGTGCTATACATGCACATTCTTTTCATGTTCATTCTTTTCAGTTGGCCAACATTAGAGAAACAAACATTTTTTCATTGGCCTTTAGAATATTCTAATTTTCTGAGATACCAGATTTGATGTTTTCATTGGTTGTCACCTATAAATATCAAAATTAAACGTAATAAACATCGGAAATACATTGGTCTGTGTGCATTGCATGAATATAATGTACAAGTTTCACGTTTTGAATGGAATTACTGAAATATTTTCAACCTTTTGATGATATTCTAATTTACTGGCCAGCACCTGTATGAACCCAGGTAGCAGTTTTTCTTTAGGATTGAGAGGAGATGCAGGAAGATAATAAACAGGCAGGACAGAAAAATAGTCAAATAAAAACAAGTTAGTTTTTGTACCTGCTGGTTGCAACAAACAGACACCATTGAAGGTAATCAGAAGTGAGGAACAGAAAATGAAATAATTATTTTAATGTTTAGAGCAGCAGGAACTCTGAGAGGCTGCAGGTGCATCAGTGAGTTTGTGGCTGCTGCGCAGGGGTAGGGGGGAGAGGGCTGAAGCAGAAACTACCGTTGTTAAAAGAGATGTGGTTAACTTAGAAAATGTGGGCACAATTTTAATTGTCGAAAACTCCAGCGAACCATTAGTTCATTTTGCTCAAATAGAAATTGAAGCCTGCCTCTAATACTGACCCTCCTTCCAATAAAGGCCTGGAGCTTGATGAGCTTGAGTCAAATACAGGCCCGGGCCTGTATTAGAGGATTTACGGTAGTAAGTAAAGTTTGTATACACAGCATGTCACAGAAAGTCAGACTAGATGACTCGCAGAAGCACAACATTGTTTACAGTTATTTTATTTTTTTCCATTACTTGTTCTACTCTTCTATTTTAAAATGAGTTAAGTGAAGTTAATCATCAATGTTTGTCTCTCTTTAAATGCAGTTGTACTCTGACAAATATTCTGTGTTGTAACAGATTGTGCTAAGGGATTCAAAGCCGGTGGGGGTGCCAGTGTACGTGTGGCAGGTGCAGCCTTGTGATGTCATGTGGCAGCTCAACTCTACCAGACGGCACATTTCTCCCAGCTGAAACTTACATCGGTCCCCCACCCCCCAGTGTTGAGCTGCACAGAAACTGAACAACTGGCACAAAACGGGGACCGAGGTTACAATCTTTTAATGATACTATTATTATGTGTATACATATTTCTGTTATAACCTTTAAACTTGTTTTTATTTGGAAACAAGGTATTAAACCAGGTCCAGTTAATGACATGGTCATCATATCAGCCAGACCAAGAGAGAGGAGACCGGTAGAATGAACAAGGTATGTTTTTCTTTCTGGACTGCACGCACGCACGCATGCACACACACACACACACACACACACACACATGCACACACCCCATTTGACTTTTGTTTTTCTTCCCCAGAAGCAGTTTGTAAAAAGGAGTCAGCTTCCCCGATGGCAGACAGCTTCGTTCTGAAGGTGCAGGAGGCGTACCACAGACTTGGTGCAGATGAGGCTCCAGTGATAACCATGGCTTCTCTGGTGATGTACCTCTGGGTGGGTCCACGCTTGGTTCGGTGCAGGAGGGAAGCGGGCCATCTTACCAACTACCAGTGAGGACTGCCCCAGACTGGGACCCTCTGCATGTGCATTTGTGTTTACCGAACATTATCATCCCTCACAACATCATTGGGGAAATCATCCAAAGCTGAGAACAGAACACAATCGCAGAGTTTCTGTGTGGAGGGGCACCAACTAAGGAGATGCCACATCACTTATACATTATTTAGATAAGTGTGTCACACCAGGGCAGAAGGTTCTGCTGAGAACCTTGTGAAACAGCCTGTGGGAACAAGTAGTCAGACTGATGACATATGTTGGGGTCTTGCTTTGGAGCCTACAGCCATCAAGGAGTACTGCAAGGTAATAGAGGTAAACCACTACCCATGTGGGGTCCTGATCCACCCTGAGGCACCATGGATGGGTTCAACACCAGATGGGATTATGTATGATCCTGAGGGCAGCCTGAGTGTGGCCTGTTGGAAATAAAATGCCTAAATGTGTGTAGCTTTGTGGACTATTATGCTCAGAAAAGGTTTACTCTCTGTGGCGATCTCATCCTCATTACTGGCAGGTCGGGGGACAAATGTTGATTTCTCCATGTGAGTGGTGTGACTTTGTTGTTTACACCACAGATGACATGTTTATTCAGCGAGTTCCCCGCGACATGGAAGTCATACAGACACTATTGTAATGTTTTCATTGCTGTTTAATGTAAAGACTTACTGTGGAGGAAATTCAATGTAAATCTGCAGTAAAATTAAATATTTCTGCATTTTCTTGTTTGTGATGTTTAGTTTGCTAGATGAGTAATCATTTTTAAATGGCTTCTGCTTAGTTTCAAAAGATAAGATTTAAATTACATGAATTAAATGATGTATAATGGTCACTACAGTGGACAGGTACTCTAAATAGTTTTTATTTATTTTGCTATTAAGCAGCTGCTGAAGACTTAATTGCATTTGAGCCCCTCCATTTGGACTTCAGTAAGTCAAGCCAACATATTTCATGTTCAGAACGCTGTCCACTGAGGTAGACACGTAATAAATTATTTGTAAATTATTAAATGTTATAAAAAATATATTTGTTGAAATTTGTTTCATTCACACCTAAAGATGAATGAAAATAATTGTTTAAAAAATCATGGTTGACGATTTTATAATTCATGCATCAAAGGGTTAAAGAAGACTAAACAAAGTTTATTTTTCTCTAAGAGAAAGGTGAAAAAAGCTAAGCTGAACAGTTTATTTCTATCAACAAGTGAGGTGATAATTTTTTCCCCATATTTTCCATTGTCATAGTGTCAGGTTTCTATAACAACGTTAGACCTTTCTGATGTAAATTACACTATACTTGGACATTGTCTAATTTGTGCTTGCATCATTGTTCAAAATTATGATTGCAACATTTTTGTTATAAATTAGGTTTCTTACATAAGTTGAAATGTCAGATTGTTTGCACTGAACTGACATTGTCCACATTTTCTGTAGCAGGGCCATATTACTCTGCTAAGCTAATGGAAACTTAGATGGGTTTGTAAGATTTTACTTAAACAAATGTTTAATGGTCTTTTTATTTTGCTTGGCAATGGTTATTTGTTTTTGTAAACTCTAAAGGATTTAAGCTTAATAGCTCAAAAAAATTGCTGCCAAAAATCTTATCTGAAGAAGTAGAGTATTTTACATCTCGTGTTCAAGTGTTTCATGTTTAGTCCTGCAAACAATAAGGAGATACAAATATGCCTATGAAGACGGCTACAATGGCAGCGAGCCTAAGATGCAGGTGGCTTTTGTTCTGTCACAGTTAAGATGTACATGGGTTGCTGACACACTGACTTTTAGAGGTAGCGTTTGAAAATCATGGGAACATGTTTTGAAGTTCTCAGCTAACAAACTAAAGATGGCACAATTAAATGTTTTTAAGCACATTTAGTGTCATGCATAATGATATGTATGTGCACACAAACAAAGATTTCTTTAAGCGCATGCCTTTAATTTTCAAAAACGTCCAAAAGATGGATGGATTTTTTTTGTTGGATGTTCCAAAATAAATACATTCGGATTACAAAGTACTCTTCTTTATTGAGTAGCAATTGCACTGTTTATGAACTAAAATATTAAGAATCACAAAATCTCTGAAATATAAATGTGAAAGTACCATATTGCGACATTTATGCTTCTACAAACTGAACGGTAACAAAAGTACAAACTATAATATATGTAACAGTTTTTTTGCTGAGAACAACCAAATACACTGTACTTGTAACCCCACTGTCCATATAACCACCGGTGTCCTGAGCTGGTAAGAATAAGAAAAGGGATAACCTGAACATTTTGGCATTATTGAGTGTTATTTTAAACAAAAGGCTAACATAAATTAAATTCTAAGGAATTGTTGGTAGGTCTTGACCTACACTTTAAACTAAACACTAAATGTCATCACCCTTTGAATAAAGCACAGAAACAAGTCATATCTCACTTGTATATTTTAGCCCACTTACAATCACACAGCTTGTACCATAACACAGGCGATGCTGAAATAAAACCAGCCTTGTTAGCTGGACTTTCTTTCTTTATTGAACATGCATGCAAATCAATAAACCCAAAGCATTAAAAAAGTACCCAAAAAGAAACCCACACATATGTATATGCATATATACAGTATATATATATATATACATATACATATATATATACATATACATATATACATATATATATACATATATACATATACATATATATACACATATATACATATACATATATATATATATACACTGTATATATGCATTTATATATATATATACACTGTATATATGCATATATATATATATATATATATATATATATATATATATACATATATACATATACATATATATACATATATACACATATATACATATATATACATATATACATATATATATATATATATGTAGAACATGTTCAATGGGAAGGGAACGAAGCTCTGGTAGCTTATATAATCCCCCCCAAATCAAATTTCAATAAAGATAAAACAAATATATATATATATATATATATATATATATATATATTCCCTACACTGAGTGTCATTGCCATTTTCCTATAACATGTTTTATCCTCAATCACACAAACAAAATTTACATTTTCTTATGTTTCCCATTTTCATTTTTAGTGTTGTGCAGAAATCTTTGCATCGCCACCACATGAGTGTTTTCTGTGCCATGATCCATTCTAACCTTTTGTGGACGTCCATTCCATTCCACCAGAGAATCAATGAAATAGCCAGCAATGATGCGAGGGCCACTGTTGGTTTTATATGCTTCCAACCAGATCATTTTCCTTGAGAAGCCATCTACGCAGCCATTAATACAAATACCATAAGGTTTGAGCTTGTCGTAGCCATCAATGTGCCATACATAATTTGGCCCACGACTGACATAAGAGCGTCAAACGGTTTTGAGCACGCAGCTCAACCCCAGCTGGATCCATCATGCGCATCAGAACACGTACGGTTTCCCTGTCGGTGACTATCCCAACCATCCAGCATTTCTGGTGCATCCACCTGTAGCCATGCTGTCTACCAGATCCTTGTAGTTGTTGCTGAATGAAAGATGCCACTTCAGCTTCATCTGCCTTGTTTCTTCTTCTCCGAAGCCGCAACTTTTGCAAGCTTCTCTCTAATGTGCGAAGGCTTAATTCCACATTATGGGATTCTTCCAAAAGTTGTAAGATTTCACGATTGGAAAACACACTTCGGAAATATTGCTCAATGATGTTACTGATATCCATTTCTGTCTATCAAGCCAAACCCACACCCAGATCCTTAAAACACCTTGGAACTCATAATAATAATGAGATACTATCTCATAATTATGAGATCGTATACTAAGTTATAATTATGAGATGGCTAAGTCATAATAATGAGATAATTTTTTTTATCTGAGTGGCGGGAATGGGCTTCCATACTTCTGGAATGCGTTCAGGTGCAGCAGAAACTATCGACATTGTGCTTTTAACTGTTTTGTTGGGTCTGGTTCACAAGAAAATAAAACAAAAACAAAACACAAGTTGTCAACTCTTCAGTGCTAAACAGTCAAGCTTTTCTTTTTTTTTTACATTGAACAAAAAATATTCACATTTAATAAAATGTTGCCTGTATTTGTATAGTGCCTTCCTAGGGTTCTACAACTCCCCAAGGTGCTTCACAACACAGTCCTGTTTTCAGAGATTTTAACAGTAGTGTTCCTCAGGGCTCTTGAATCCCAGAGATAATCTTATACCATGAACGTTGATGATGGGCTTCCAGGTGACCAAATACCTGAGCCAGTCCAGCAGCTCCCAGCTAGATGAAGAGGAAGAAGTAAGAACAAATATTTAGACCACAGAGCCAATTGTCAAATTGACGGGGGAATTATCAGAAGGTTCTCTGTCACCTCTGTTAGTGAATGAGGTGATCCTGAACCTTCAACTTGTAAAATTTTACAGTGAAGTCATTACAAAACAGTCTGTCTTGGTCTGTTGGCAGGAAGGTTAAAGGAGCAATATGTAAGAATTCTACTGTAAAATAATCAAAAACTAGTCAGATGTATTGTGTTGGAAGGAAGGTTACATTCTCAGCAAGCTGAGGGGCTGTCAGTTTTTCTGCTTTCAAAAAACAAAAGAGGGACATAGTTGTGGTTTACAAATCAATGAGCTTGCTGAATCTGCGCCGAGCTGACGCTGCAGCCTTTGTAATTCCATACTAGCAAGCCCAAAGCTCTAGAGTTGTTTAAAGAACATAATTCAGTAAACAGGAGCCACACAGAAGTTAATCCTTGTATTTATAAGAAGCCACGGCATCTCATTATTTTACTTTAATATCAGGAAAAGAAAGCTAGAGGGAGGGCTGCACAATGGTGCGGTGGTTAGGGCTGTTGCCTTGCAGCAAAGAGGCCCTGTGTTCACATCCTGGCCTTGGGTCTCTACGCATGGAGTTAGCATGATCTCCCTGTGCATGCGTGGGCTTCCTCCCACAGTCCGAAAATATTACTGTCAGGTTTATTTGCCTCTCTTAAATTGTCCTTAGTTGTTTGTCCTGTATGTCTCTGTGTTGCCCTGCGGTGGACTGGCGACCTGTCCATGGTGTACCCCGTCTGGCTGCCCAAAATCTGCTGGAAATAGGCACCAACCCCCACGACCCTGCGTGAATAAGCAGGTAGATACTGGATGGAAAGCTAGAAACAAACAATGAGCTAACAATGCTAACTGCGACTTGGAAGCAAATAGTCAGCTCTAAAAAATCTCAAGCTGCTTTTTCAATTACCAAAATCTCAATATTACAGTAAAATGTGCGTGTGTGAAGAGAATGAGTCAATTGTGGTGTTTAACTTCCTTTAATGAGTTGTTCAGGACAGTAACAAACACCCAAGAGGGCCAACACCAGATACGATTTATTGATTTACTTAACTTCCAGAGTATGACCATGGGGGAAACTCCACCTGCCAAAAGTAAAGAAACATTCAAGTGACATAATCTTTAAACTTACCGCTATGTATCTGAAAGTGGTGGGGTAAACATCTACTCTGACTGCAGATCGGAACTACCGCTCCAGACATTAAAACAACAACACGATTGAAAGACACAAAACCAAAAGAACCAAAGATCAATAAAAACAAAATCAGATCATAAAATGAACTGAATGGAACATTTTGCAAGGTTTAAGTAGCTTTATAAAGATGTGCAACCCTCTACAATAAGGGTCTCTTTATTAATGTTACTTAGTGCATTATTAAGCATTATTAAACAAAAGATCCCTTTAACGTTACCAACATTGGTAACTATTAAGCGCCATTTAGCTTAGGACCAAGGACTGATTAGTATTGCATTACTTAATATTACCATAAATATTAAGCTGTTAATACTTTAATAGTATATTAATGCTTAATAATGTACCAAGTAATGTTAATAAAGAGACCTTTATTGTGAATGTTACCTAAAGATGTCCTGTGATCGTCAGTACAACAGAAGTTGTTCGTTCTGTACATCAGTGTTCATTCTGACTCGCAGAAGCACGACTTTGTTCTGAGTTTGAATAACGTGTTCATTACTGATGCTATTATTCCATTCATGGACGTAATTTTGGGGGGAGACAGGGGGGACATGTCCCCCCCACTTTTTCCAAAGTCATGTTTGACCCCTGCACTTTTTACCATCCAAAAACAATTTTACGCTATATTAAACTGACAGTGGTTGAGCTCCAGGACCAACCAGAAAACAACCATTTGTGTTGATGCCTGTTTCCCAATCAGAACAAACTGTAAAGATCCCCCCGTGTCCCCCCCCCCCCCACTTCTAAAGTGAAAATTACGTCCATGATTCCATTTTACAATAGAACCTTCACCTTCTGGCTCAACACTCTCTTCACCACGACTGATCGGTACAACGCCCGCATCACTGCAGACGCAGCACCAATCTGCCTATAGATCTCACGCTCAGTCTATCTCTCACTCGTGAACAAGACCCTGAGATACACTCCTCCACTTGAGGGAGGACCTCGTCCCTGACCTCGAGAAGACCTTCTACCCTTTTCCGACTCAAGACCATGGCAGATTCTCATCCCAGCATAAACTCGATTTAACTAAGATTTTATACAGAAAATATATTTAAGATGAACAACAAGGGGTTTCAAAATGCGTCGATTTACGTATCAAAACATTTTTTTTATTATAATGGTTCTGTAAAGACACAGCAGCAGTCGGTCATCTGAGTGAAGGCTTGATGTACAGTATCTTCGTGAAAGTAAGTAAATAAATGTAGTCTGTGGTTGCCCTACACACAAGTTCCTCAGACGTCACCAGGATTTCCCAGTGGCCCATTTTCATAGTTAGTAAGAAGACAGGCCACAGCAAACAGCTGATTGATGTTTCCAAGCACACTGAGGGGAATAACAGAATCAAAGATCTTGTGCTCTTTGATCCGGCGAATGGAGCGCTCCATATGCACTCTCAGACGTGAGATGGTTGTTGTCTCTCTAACCTCACCTGCAGACATCTGGGGTCTGTGAGAGAGGAAAGCTGGCCTGTAAACCTTGCAGGGCACAATGTCATCAATAAGGAACCCCTTGTCTACCATGATGGCCATCGCAGGTTTTAGCATTTTTAAGACACCAGATTCCCTGGTAATCTGTTTGTCGCTAGCAGATCCAGCAAACAGCGCCGAGACGAATGTCACTGGCCCGTGTGGCGCGATCCCGATAAGCCCTTTCAGAGTGCAGTGGGACTTGTAGGAGGAAAACACCTCACTCTGGAGGAGAGGGGAAGATGGGCATTGAAACCTCAGCTCAGTGCAGTCAAGGATGACTGTGGTGTCTGGGTAGAGCTGAAATTCTGCAGGCAGATTTCTCCGTATCTCCTTCTCCGGTATCCAGATCCTCACTGAGCCAAGTATTGTGAACAAATAGTTGCTCCATGATCTTATTACCTTGCTTACAGTATGATGATGGATACCGTACCAGTCCGCAAGGTCCCGTTCTTTGGAACCAAGGGCGAAGAAATTCAGAAGGAGAAAAAACTCATCAATGGGTTCCAACGTAGATATGGACTCTCTCTGTACCTTCTGTGATTCCTGAAGACTGCCCCAAAAGCACATCAGGCTGTCATATGATGCAAACCTGAAGAAATGAAATACAGATACTTCTATTAATAGTTGCTCTGAACAAACAGCAGAATATTGAGGGCCACATGTTAACTGTTTAAATGAATTAACCATAAAATTATGTGTATGCATCATTAAAATAAGACAAAAATTATTTAAATGTCAAAAGAAAAAATTCCGAACATTCACTGAATGCAGGGCGGCAAAGATTAGTCGACTCGTCACGACGACATCAACAAACGAGGCTTGGGCGGTATTACCGTATACAGCCGGTATTTAAAACTGGCAACGGTGTCAGTTCCAATACCGTCATGAAAACAAAAATATCCATGCACGTAAATGGTAAATGGCCTGTATTTGATATAGTGCCTTCTAGAGTCCTGGAACTCCCCAAGGCGCTTTACAACACAATCAGTCATTCACCCATTCACACACCCATTCACACACTGGTGGTGATGAGCTACAATGTAGCCACAGCTGCCCTGGGGCGCACTGACAGAGGCGAGGCTGCCGAGCACAGGCGCCACCGGTCCCTCCGACCACCACCAGCAGGCAACGTGGGTTGAGTGTCTTGCCCAAGGACACAACGACAGCGACAGACTGAGTGGGGCTCGAACCTGCAACCTTCCGATTACGAAGCGAGCACTTAACTCCTGTGCCACCGTCGCCCCCAAATTAATAAAAATAAATAAATAACATATCATAAAAGGCCAAGACCACCCAGAAAATAAAACAGCCCTAAAATACCTAGACGAATGTCTGGGCAAATAAATGAGTCTTAAGCTCACTCTTGAACTTGTCGACTGAATCAATAGAACGCAGAGTGAGGGGTAAATTATTCCAGAGCTTAGGAGCTACAGCTTCAAATGAACGGTCACCTCTAGTGCGATAGTAAGTGCGAGGAACTTTAAGCAGATTATGATTCCCACTCCTCAGATCCTGCATGGGGTGGACGGTTGGATCAGTTCTCTAATGTAGGAGGGAGCTTGTCCATGCAGGGATCTGAAAACCAAAATCTTAAACTTAAACCTAAAAGACACAGGTAGCCAATAAAGTTCCTTTAGAATAGGGGATATGTGAAACCTCCTATTCGTGCGCATCAGGATTCTTGCAGCAGAGTTCTGCACTAGTTGCAGACAATGGAGCTCCTTCTTTTTCAGACTAGAAAATAAACTATTACAATAGTCTAAACGGGACGACACAAAAGCATGAATGAGGAGCTCCAAATAATTTCTTGACACCATATGTCTAAGCTTCGAGATGTTCCTTGGTTGAAAAAAACAGTTTCTCATTAGCTGCTTACAGTGCTGCACAAAAGACATTTCACCGTCAAAGATGACTCTTACATTTCTATGGCTTAACTTCACAGATTGGGCCAAATCACCCAGGTACTGCTTAATCTACGGGACAGAACCAACAGGGGCAACAACCAGAGTTTCTGTTTTGTTAGCATTTAGCTGCAGGGAATCTTCATTAAGCCATTTCTTTATTTCCACTGAACAATGGAGCAAAGAGTCTTATTCGGCTCAGACTGCTTAAAAGAGCAGTATAGCTGAATGTCATCAGTAAATAGGTGGAATGAAACGTCACTAAACCTTTGAATGATCTTACCCAAAGGGAGTCAAATACAACAAGAAAAAAACAGGACCCAGGACGGAGCCTTGGGGCACTCCACTCAACAATTCTGCAGATTGCAAACGCTAACGATTTATTTCCTCCTGCTATGTTACAGTGTTAATAAAAGTGCTCCGCCTCAATGGATGAGCTTGTTATGTGCACACCTCAGCAAGCTAACGCCCCTTTCAAACTAGCAGTGGCTCCACACCACTTTGCCCCAGCCTGTCCCAGTTGATTCCACACATCCTTGCTTAGAAATGCAAGGTCAGAGAAGTTTTCAGCTCCTAGGTAATCAGCGTGATAATGCCGTAAGCCCAGGTGGGCTGATTCTACCCACCAATCGGAGGGTAGAATGAAGCGCTTCAACCTTGCCACCATGCCTCTTGTGAACACAAGTCATTTTGTGTACAATTTATTCTTGGTTTTAGAAGCCTACCTCCATCTGACTGTAGCATTTGTATTAACTGGTTACAAAGATAATAAGTTGTTCGATAAGCTATCATCTTGTCTTTATTATTAGATGGCACATAGCTGATCACATTTCAGACTAGAAGCTAATGATGGTATATTAGCCCATCCTGGTGCAATAAGCTATACTTTATGAATGACACAATGACTATTATATTAGTCGACGATTAGGCAACTATTAAAGTAGTCATTTGTGGCAGGCCTAACTGAATTTTAAATGAACATAACTAACTCATCAAAGGTATTTAACACACACAATCTCATACTTATATGCAACTGAGCACACACATTAGCAGGTTATCAGTGAATTAGCGACCGATATTGTAATTATATATAAAAAATGCAAAAGTCTACTTACCGGGTAAAGAACCGGATATCCTTGTCAGAGTCAGCAAAACGGTGAACGCAGAACTGCTGTCTCAATGAAAAAGTCTCTATTTGCAGGCGGAGCTGGCAATTTTCTTTCCGTAGAGACGAGTTTTCCTTCACCATCGGATCAACCACCGCAGGGCCCGGTCTCAAAGCATAGTCATGATCAATGTGAGGGTCAAATGCGTGGTTCTGTGTGTCCTCCACACCAGTCTCTGGCGGGGTTGTTTCCATTCTCTCCAAAACTTCCGGTCTTGATGGTGAAAGGGAAAAGTTGTTCCATTCAAAAAATACAGGAACAGCTCCTTTTTTTAACAGCTGTCGATTATTGTTTGATGCGGTTTTATGGATATCTTCAGATCTGAAGTGCCGGCTACAAACACGGGTGTGTGGTGTTACCGTAAACTTGTCCCTGCGAATAGCCGCAACCCACTTACTCCTCAGCTCCGCATCAGCGGGAAACGTGAAAAAGCTCATCATAGAATTGTACTTTGCGGATACCTTGCACTGTGGTACACAGCAGTGCTCGGCATTAGTACCAGAGGATCTCTGGTAGTTAAAATTAGACTTTTTCATGAGGCCCGGTGGCAGATAGAAATCAGAGACGTGGCAAGAGGAAGTAGTTCAGCTGGCTAACAATTCAACGGTGGTCGTTGGTATAAAGCCAGTAGTTCTATGCGCTGTGCGTTATCCCGTGGTGTGTAAACAACTTATGCCCTACTGTGTCCTCACAAAAAACTATTCTACCGATACGAGTCACGTAATCTCCTTATTTATCTTTAAAAATGGCGATTTTTGCACAAAAAAGTGACAAATTATCAGTTATGCTAGCCTTTTTTTTTCTCCAACGTACTTGTGGCGGCTTTAGTAAAACGTGTGGAACTACTGTGATTTATATAAAAACCATGCTGTAGAACACTACCGCAGAGGCCTACATGATAAATAAAGCAGGTCTCTCCTTTCACCGTTAAGCACCGCGTGTACAGGAAGCTAACTTTTGAGAGCTAACGTCGGTTCACTCGACCGCAGTTAGAAAATCGAACTAGAAACTGGGTTTATGAGCAACGACCAAATACCCAAACCACCTGCTGAGGGTATTTTTTTCAAATCACATGGTTTAAAATGTAAACATGAGGTTTTAGCCGTGTATTAGCGTTTGGCTTGAACTCACGGTCTTTCTGTATGGATGACTAGTTTATGAACGAGAACGTGATACAAACCGAGCAATCGAGGAAGAAATCGGAGGAAAATCGACGAACCGAAGTATTTTAACCATGAACTTGTGTGTAAAACTCTACCTGTAGCTGGGCTGTGGAGAGACCCTGCGTCTTTGTGATGGCAAACGCATGTTAGAATCCACAACAACACACGTCTTCCTGTGTTCTATCGCGCGGAAATGGGAGAGCCAATCAGAGAGCGCAATGTCTCCACGAGCGGCGTTCAAAGAAACTGAAATTTTTTTAGATTTCTGGTTTTAAACCCAAAACGAAGCAATGAATCCCGACCACTGACATTTATTTGGGTTATCAATTTATAATACAGATAAATTTGCACTCAGATCAGATGTCACGGACGTTTAAGACGTTTATAAATATTTGCATTTGTGACTAACATATCACTTCAGCCTGGAAACTTTTACGAAGGATTTAATGAGGAGTATGAACGCAACGCGTACGTCACTTCTGGGGGGAAGTAGAAACAATCTTTTTTTTTTCCAAAACTTTATTGAACAAGGTGATAAGTATACAAACAAATTGTATACAAAATTGAACAAAGAAGATGAAACATATGCCAGGGGGTGCACTACAGAAATGTTACACACATCCAAATAAATTATAGGTGGTGCAAATAGTTATAGTTTTTAAAGCTTTTTTGTTTAGTGATCCACTAATCAATTTTATGTAAGATAGAGCGTCACTATAATAGTGCTTGAAATTAGGTTTTTGGTTACTGTACTTGCATTTGTGGAGATAGAATTTAGCTAGAATAATTAACAAATTTATAACAAAGTATACATCTTCCTTTCTGTGCTTGCAAAAAAAATACAACATTTTCCCATTTTAAAACAAAGTCCTTGCAGAGCTGTCCAATAATAAATCTGCTAAAGTCTTTCCATTACGTTGTAGCATGTGAACAGATCCAGAAGAGGTGCTGAACGGTCTCAGGGTGGCTTCCACAAAAACAGCAATTCACATCAATGTCCCTCTTAAACTTTGTCATATAGTGATTAGCTGGGTAACACTTATGAAGTATTTTGAATGAAACTTCTTTGACCTTATTTGTCACAAAATACTTATTAGGAATGGTCCGTACTCTTTTCCAACTGATGTCAGTGACAAAGGAATTCCAATAAAAAATCACATATGGAACAGATAAGGATTCTCTCTGCATGAATATTCCTATTACTGTTTTTATGCTCGATAAGACAAACTTTTCCTACGTATGTGTTCACAGGGTCGGGAAGAGAAATAGGCGGTACAACTGGTAGAACACCTTTAAAAAGCATTCTAACACCCATAGGTATTGCAGCAAACAGTATGGCATATTCTTTGGGAGTTGCCGGAAATTTATATGTGTTTAGGAGTTCTGTGTAAGACATAAGCTGTCCATTAGTATTATACAACTGATTCACAAAAATGATCTGTTTCTCAACCCAATTAGAGAAAAACAATGATTTATTTTTATACACTATGTTCCTGTTATTCCAGATCAAGTATGTATGGGGAGTAAAATTATGTTTATAAATCAGTGACCAGGCTAATAGAACTTGTTTGTGAAACATTGAAAGTTTTTCTGGAAGCTTAGGAAGTAGAAACAATCGACATTGCACTTTTAACAGTTAAAACATTTGAGCGATGTGATGGTAACGGGTTAAGTTTAATGAAATATAACTTATTTTTACACTGCACTGACGTTTTTACATTTAGTTAAAAGTGATACATATATTAATTTGTTTCCTTTCATTTCACATTTTTTTTATTTTAAACTTCCATAGATTAGGCATGGGAAGAAAAAAATAGAAATAGTAACAGTAAACGAACACCATAAGGCTTTATATATATATTTTTATTATATACAAAGTCATGAGCTGCAAAACTTGAATGTTTTTTTTTTTTCCTGACAGAAACCTTGTTTCAGTTCCTGGAAGTTAACCAATAAAATCTCACAATAACAAATTAGCTGTAAACACAAACTCAAAATAAAAAATTAAAACAGAAGTTTGACATGAAGTTTTCTGGACAAAATCGTTTGATATCAATGTGCAAAAAAGCTGCAGCTTCAGAAAAAGTAGAAGCATAGAACTCCAGCTGTGTGCAAGTAAAACAGAAACTTGAGTTAAAAAGTATAGCAATGTGTTATCTGCAGAGGAAAGAACAAGATGCTTCTGCAAATACTGGATATGTGCTTGAGGTTTTCTCCATGTTGGCAGCAGTTTGAGTTCATGGTGCTATCCTGGATTTGCAGATCATGTTGCAACCATAGGAAAAGTGGCCATCGTTGCTTGGAGCTCGACAGCTCCATGGTTCTCCTTCTCAGAGACATTAACAGCGGCGTTCCTCAGGGCTCTCTACTCGAGACCCAGAGAGAAGTTTATCCCGTGAACGATACCGATGACGATAGGCTGCCAGGCGACCAAATACCTGAGCCAGTCCAGCAGCTGTCCATACAGAATGTGAGTTTTCTCCCAGCTGGATTAAAAGAGGAAGAATTAAGGAGAACAAATTATTTAGACCACAGAGCCACTTTAATCACTGTGTGTCTGTGACTAAAACTAGAACCACAAGTTTGAACCAAAGGATACGGGTTGTTCATCATCCTCTTCAAGTCGACCTTCTCGTTACAGTATGGACACGTCTGCTTCTTACCCACAATGCACCAGCCGCGGATGCAGAACTCGTGGAATCTGAAAGGGCAGAGCGAGTTAAGGCGAATTCCCTGAAATCAACACCAGCTCTCCTGCTCCTGTAGGAGTCTGGATATCGGTAAAGGAACGGACTCAACAATGTCCTCCAGCCGGGATCAGGAGGATACATGTGTCCACAGGACAGCTGGTAGGTGTCCTCGATTAACCCCTCCTCCTCCACCTCCACCAGGATCCTCTGCCCACACACCGCGCAGATGTCCCCCGTCAGGCTCCTGCTGGGCATGCCCCCCTTGTTATAGTACTAAAAACACAGAAATACGGCTGGTTCGGACCAGAGAGCGATAACAATCACAGAATTATATAGAAGAACCCTTTTTAGTGAGTGTGTGTGTGTGTGTGTTATCAGGCATGCATGGGTTTCCCCTGCCTTCGAGACCAAAAACATGCATGTCAGCTTTAAGGTGACCCTAGGGGTGACTGGTTGTTTGTCTCAGTGCGTCCCCGTGGTGGACTGGAGACATGTCCAGGCGTTCCTGCTCGACGACAGCTGGGGTTAACACCAGCCCGCCGAGACTCTGCTCACGAATAAACGGTTCAGAGGGCGAGTGAGTGAGTTTCACCCCGATGGTGGAAGCCATGTAGTCGGTGCAGATTTCAGCAAAGTCGCGTCCCATCACGCCGTAGTAAAGCCCGTAGAACAGCATGATCACCCCCACGTCCATGGAGTCCTCTGCCTTGATCCTGCAGTCGAGAGCATAAAGACCTGTATTAAAGTCATTACGACAAAAAAAAAAAAGCTTAAAACCAAACAGACGGGTGATAATTATTCAGCACAAACAACGTCGATGCCGCCAAGAGCCACAGCGGACCATTAAAGGTGACGGACCTTCTGTCTCACCGTCGTCGTGACTATAACTGTTGAGTGCACACATCTACATCAACTCATCCATGGATCCATCCTTCTTGCAGGTTGCCCCCACCCCTACATGGAAAACACCACCTTCGTACTGCACCAGCTAGCAGCAGCGACTGACCTGAAGAAGCCGTTGAAGCCGAACATGGTGAACATGATGGCGAGGTATCCCAGAACCCCCACGCCGTAACTCAGCCAGTAGATCAGCAGGAACCACTTGTAGACCATCCTGGAGGTGGGACACGCGGAACACAACGGCTGATTCGTATTGGGTGTGTAAACGTGGACAGGAGACCGCAGTCCTTTGGTCTCAAACACAAAACAGCGGATGTGTTTAAATACAGTTTTAACACCGGGAGTTAAACAGCTGCTGACATGCTAACCCGCTAACAAGCTAGCTAAACTTTTCTTCCTTCAGGAATAAATAAACTCCTCGACCACCACCGGAGCCTTTGGGCTAACTCTAGCCTGGGAGCTAGCCCTGCTAACAGAAATAACTTCCTGTTTCTGTCTCACGTCAGCACACGCCATGTTTGAGACGTCCCGGTGTCCCCTCACCTGGGCGTCCTGCAGGACAGCGGCTTACGCGTGGCTCTGAAGATGACGTAGCTGGTGATGACGGAGAACATCCCCCACATGGACAGAAACCTCCACCAGTACAGTTTAATGGTGAAGTAGAGAGGAACCACCCACATCTGGATCAGCGTCACCATCTGCGTGGACGACAGGGACCGGTTTAGACTGGTGTCAGAACCAGGAGAGTCTAAACTAAAGATGGGACATTTAGTCCATTCTGTCTTTTATTTATAAATAAACCTTGTTGTGGATGGCTACCTGAACAGCCTCTGTTCAGAGAAATTGAGTTTATGATCTCTTGGACTGACAAGCTAACAGCTAGTCTGATTTCAGCCTAGATGAAAATGTGTTGCTGCTGTTATAAAATATTTAACGAACCTTATGGAATTCTGTGGTAATTTGTGTGGAATTCTACAGCTGAAAGATGTGGAAATCTGCAGCTTTTACAAGAGAATTCTGTTTTTCTATAAAAGTCTGCGACCTTCATTCCTCTAGATATTCACACGAAGCCCTCTAGTAGTTTATAACGAAATACCAGGTTATTTACAGGGAATTACTGCTATTTAAAAAGGCCCTTCAACCCTATTTTAATGCATTTGCAGTGGTCTCTAGTAGGAATGACTGCCTCATAAGTCGTACTGGGGGGCGGCGCTCTAGTGCTCCGGTTTCAGGAACTAGAAGTGAGCTACATCAGAGCCGAGCTTCAGACGACAAGATTTGGAGTCTTACTCGCTGATATTTGGACATCTATCCTCTGACTGGCTAACAGCAACATGAACCACCGACTACATCTGCACTGCAACGTTCATATTTTACCTCCACATATAACACAAGCGTGAAGGAGTTCTGCTGTGTGGTGGAGTAGCTAATGCTAAGCTAACAGCCTTCCCAGTCACAAGTCAAGTTGAGTGAGTTCATGAATGTTAGGTGACAGTGTGATGTAGATCTGTCAGGCTTTTCTCATCCTCGAGTTTCACCGTCTGTTTTCCATCAGAAGCTAATGATGTGTAGGAGTACGGAGGCCCATTCCCGCCACTCGGATAAAAAAAATAAAAATTATTATCTCATAATTATGAGATAGCTATCTCATTATTATGAGATACTAAGTCACAATTATGAGATAGCTAAGCCATAATAATGAGATAGCTACGTTATAATTATGAGATAGCTAAGTTATAATTATGAGATAGCTAAGTCATAATTATGCGATAGCTAAGTTATAATTATGAGATAGCTAAGTCATAATTATGAGATATTTTTTTTAATCTGAGTGGCGGGAATGGGCTTCCATAGAAGGAGGACCTCTTCTTCCAGCAGCAACATTCAGATGTAATGTTTAAGATTCAGATGAGCCTTTCTACCAGGGAGGGGTTTAGGGTCAAATACCTCCTTTAATATTTAAGGTGGAATGGTAGACTGGGTGGCAGAAGCAGGACCTTCCATCACTCACGTTATAGGAGCGGTGGTGCCGCTGCTTCCACTGTACCAGGACGATCTGGGCCACCACCAACGTGGCGATCAGAATCAGAACCATCTCCGCGTGCATGGCCTCGTGACCCCGGTGCTTCACGTGCAGACGCTCGTGCTGCGTCCTGCAGACAGATGGAACCATGAGGCGCTCCTGTTCAGATGTTTGTGAGCAGCAGCTGGAGGAACTCACCTCCACGTCTCTCTGGGACTCATCCTCAGCGGCTCGTCCTGCGGAGACAAACAGCTGCTGGGTCTCTGGACTGGTGCAGGCTAGCGCGGCTGGGACACGTCCGTAAAACCCGACGAGCGATTTAAAAACGCCGCTAACGCGCTTCTGTGGCGCCACGTAGCCAGCAGCTAGCTAGCCAGCCTCGGAGCCGGTTAGCGGCGATAAACGACACGTTAAAACCGGTCAAACTAACGGTAGCACAGTGTTCATGCGGCCACGGGCTACTCACCTGGGGATGGACTTCTGCCATCTTCAGTGCTGGACCAGAACCGATCCACCAGCCGTAGCAAGGCGTGTGTACGGAAAACCACGAGGTTCAAATTCAGAACGCAAACCTACACCCTTCATTTAACCGTAAACACCATTTTATCTTCTAGCTTGTCACACAACCACATTGACCGTTTTTTAAATTCGAGTCATTAATACAAGATACATAAATGACTGAATGTCCAATATGAAGTACATGGAACAGTACAAACACACCAGCAACTTAACAGGATTAGACGCCAGGGGTTACTGTACACAATGAACATGACCACGTCACTGCAGTAACACCAAAGCTGAAGTCAGCAGCAGGAAATGTGGCTTTTTTCAACATAAAAACTTTATGGCTCACTTTCTACCAGGTAATCTTTCCCACCACTAGAATGGTTTCCATGGAGACGTGCATTTATTTTTAAGTTAACAGAGAAATAAAAACCAGACAGATGAGATTTAATCAGATTTTATTTGACGTCATAGTTGACATCAGCAGTTGCTCCGGCATCAGACACAAATCACAGTAGACATCAGCTCAAACCGAACTAATTCACTCCTCCAAGTCGGTGGCTGAAGTCCGTCGTCCTGCAGGGAGGAGAGAGAAAAGCTGGTCACTATCAGGCAGAGCCAAGCTGATGCTCAGAACCAGAACTAAAGTCGCTCAGACATCCAAGGAAGGTTTGGACCATCTTTGGTCTGGAAGACCTCTGGTGGAAACTACGAATGGCAGGAAAAATCATCATCACAGCGATCATCTGGTGCTTCACCACCACTAAAACCCAACTTCTTAAACCCAGTCAGATACAAACCTGCGTATTTTAACCTCCAGCTGCCACAACTGACCCTCTCCCCGCAGAATCTTCCTGCACAAAACAGAAACGCGTTTAAATAAAAAAATAAAATAAAAACAACAACATCAGATGCATCATCGTAATTCGCTCAGACATCCAAGGAAGGTTTGGGCCGTCTTTGGTCCTAAGACCTCTGGTGGAAACTACGAATGGCAGGAAAAATCATCATCACAGCGAACATCTGATCGCTCCTTGTGCTACAACCAGACGCTTATTCAGATACCAACCTGGACACGAGAACGGGACCCTCGGCTTCCTTTAACCGGGCACCGGATGGCCAACAGGAACCTGAAACAAAGTCACAAGTTGGTCTGGAGTTGGGAGGGGAAAAAATTTTTTTTTTCAGAATCTGAAAGTCGCTCAGACATCCAAGGAAGGTTTGGGCCGTCTTTGGTCCTAAGACCTCTGGTGGAAACTACGAATGGCAGGAAAAATCGTCATCACAGCGAACTCTAATCTACATAGTACAGCTCTGATGATACGTACCAGCTCCACGAGGACCAGTCAGCAGAACCAGACAGCCGAGATGGTCCACCCTAAATAGAGAAAACAAAAATTCATACATCAAAACCAGAGTTATGAGTAACCGCTGGATCCGGGCCAACAGCTGCAGAGAAAAGCTATAAAATACGGATCAGCACTGAGCTGTGGCGAGTCTGGACTTTCGTAAAACACTCACCTGTCCATAGTTTCTTCAGCAAAAGCATTTTTTACTTCCTCACCATGGCGCCCTCTCTACGGAGGCCCTGGAGGCCATTTGAGGACCCGTGGAAACCTGGAGGAGCACAAACCGTCAGAGCAGCAGGATTCTGGAGGAAACTTCACAAAGTCGCAAATAAAAACGCTCAGACATCCAAGGAAGGTTTGGGCCGTCTTTGGTCTGGAAGACCTCAGGTGGAAACTACGAATGGCAGGAAAAATCATCATCACAGCGTAGAAGAAGCTTCAGCAGACAGAAACCCAAACTCACCTCAGCTAGGCGTTTGCAGGACGACTCAACAGGGACAGGACAACTCTGGACAAAGCAAACGACTGTTAAACAGAAATTAATTAACTTACATCATTAAAAACATATTTTAAACATCTGGAACGTGCTGAGCACTCAGCTTAGGTGTACCAATAGTCAGGCTGAGGTCTAGTTCAGCTAACATAATCGATTAATTGCTTTAAACAGTTAATGGCTGCTTTTCAAACACAGCTGGTGAGCCTCCAACACGTGCTCACCGATTATAAAACACGCAAACTGTCTAAAAGCTTCAAAGGAAGTTTACGTTTAATTCATAACGTTAACCTAAACACCAAATCCAGCATTCGACAGGATAACCGGGTTTAATCGTAGATTTTACAGCGGAAACGTAGATATTCACTCAAAAATCTGCTGCTGTTGCATAAAGACACCAGCGAGTTAAATCCAGTCTGAAGCAGTTGTATTAACCATCGTTTTAAATTTACTTTTTTACTTTAAGACGTCAACAACGTGGTCAGACCTCGGCCCTGTTCGTTAAACAATCTACACCCATCCGGCTCTAAAACGCATCATCTAATGTTCATGCCCCCAAAAAAACACTAAACACAAACTAATCATTCACTACTGTGGCAAATTATTCAAGTAAAGGTCAGATTTAAGCCATAATCACCATTTTAGCACCGCTGCGCCGCGCTCACCACCTCTTCTCAGATTGAAATGACCGAGGAAACCGGTTTCCGGCTTTTAAATATGGCGTCACAGCGGTGACCGGAACTAGTTTGGCGCCGCCTACTGGGCGAAAGGAGGAAGACATGATGGAATGACAGAATAACGGAGTTTAATGGTGAAACAACAGTGAAGAGACAAATGAGTCTAGTTTAATTGTATCTGCCAGACATGTCCCAGGTCTGTGGAGCAGCCCTGCTAAAACCAAAGGATGATGGTTTTAAAGCACTTTAGAGCTGCTGTGGATTCTAACGAAAATACTTCTAATTCTTTATTTTTATGTCTGAATAAAGTTGTTTAAAGAGCAAGTCACCCCCAAATCAACTTTTTTTCTGATAAACTATATAAATGCGTGTCTAATCGTGCTGCAGACACGTGCAGCCAGTAGTTTTGCACTTAGGTGCATTTTAGTAAAAAATTTAATTTTCTGCCTAACACCGTCATTGCTGTGCCATTGTCAGGTAAAAAACTCTGCGCTGCAGTTGAATTTAAATCTGCCATCGCTATTGATTAAGAGGTACCCTAGAACATTGGTACATTATGATGTCACAATGTCGTTGTGAGCATGTGTGTGTTTTTGTTAGCGTCTCCGCCCTCTCGGTCTGCTAGGCAACAGCATTTGTTGCATTTTTCAAACAGGAAGTGGGAGTGGAGTAATACTCTGGTAGGGGGTGACTTGCTCATTAAATCTGTTGTTTTCAAAGTGGGAGTGTGGACCCCTCTGTGGCTCATTAAAGAGCAAGTCACCCCTTACAAGAAGCGTACTTCACTCCCACTTCATGTTTGAAAAATGCAACAAATGCTGTTGCCTAGCAGACCGAGAGGGTGGAGCCACTAACAAATACACACACTCACGGCATTGTGACATCATAATGTACCAGTTTACATCATAGCATACCTCTTAGCAAATAGTGGTGGCAGATTTAAATTCAAATGCAGTGAAGAGTTTTTACCTGACAACACTGACAGTTTCAGGCAGAAAATTTAAATTTTACCTAAAATGCACTAAAGTGCAAAACTATTGAGTACACGTGTCTGCAGCACGATTAGACATACATTTATATAGTTTATCAGAAAAAAATAGTTGATTTGGGGGTGACTTGCTCTTTAAACACTACATTAGGGACCATGAGATGATCTAGAACCTTTAAAACAGGTTCTAATAGATTGTGTATCTTTGTTTCATTAGAAATCCGTGCAAAAAGGCAGAGATCCTTTTGAAAATGTTTTTATATTGAATAAAGTTTTAATTTATAGGTCATCTGTTTCTCCAAACTGAGGCTATTCAAAGAGCCACAACAGGTGTTGATCTATCTGTCTATCTGTCTATCTATCTATCTATCTATCTATCTATCTATCTATCTATCTATCTATCTATCTATCTATCTATCTATCTATCTATCTATCTGTCTGTCTGTCTGTCTGTCTGTCTGTCTGTCTGTCTGTCTGTCTGTCTATCTATCTATCTATCTATCTATCTATCTATCTATCTGTCTGTCTGTCTGTCTGTCTGTCTGTCTGTCTGTCTATCTATCTATCTATCTATCTATCTATCTATCTATCTATCTATCTATCTATCTATCTATCTATCATCTATCTATCTATCTATCTATCTATCTATCTATCTACAGGGAAACAATTCCCACCCACCACTTGACAGACCAACATATTAACCAATCAGCTCTTTCCATTTTCTCTGTCTTGCTCCTGATTGGTTGCAAAAGGAGCAGATTGTATGACCCCACCCACCCACCCACCCCCACCTCCTGCTGCTGTTGAGCGGTGATGGTGCTGCTGCAAGCTGCTGGTGTTGCCGTGACGATGCTATCCTCCCCCTCCCTCTCCCACATACACTCACACACACACACACACACTGGAGAGGAGAGGCAGTAAGCAAGACTTTATCATGACGCGATGGCTTCAGGCTGGAAAACAGACGCTGATCACCTGGAAAACAGGGTGAGTGTTGTTTTTATTCCCTGGATAAAAGGAGTGACAGGTGGGTGGATGTAAGGTGGATGGATGTACGGCTGGTGGATGGGTGGAGGAATGTTTGAGGATCACAGGAACAGCTGTAGCATGTTCTGCTTGCCTGAGAGAGAGGGGATGAGGGAGGAGTGGAGGGATTGAGGAGGGATGAAGGAAATGAGGATAGACAGATTGAATGAATGAATGAAGGCTCAAACTGATCCATCCCAGATTTCTGTGTGTGTGTGGGGGGGGGGGGGGGGGGGGGGGGGCTATCAGGCCTGTATGTACACGTTAGCACGTTAGCATCCTAACTGCTAACAGAAACAGGAGGTACGTCACTTCTCTGAACAGAAACCAGGTTCCCATCACAGCAAAAGAAAACGCACACAGAGTTTGTACGGATGGATCATCAGGGGCCGTTCCATACTTTCAGTTTGAAATGAATCTTAAAGATGTTTAAACAAAGCTTAAATAAAATAAAGATTCTGCTGGTAAATCAATGCTGATATTGGGAAAAAATGGAATTCAAATGATGATGTGTAATCTCTGCAAAGAGACTAAATGACCATAAAAAGAGACAGAACTGCTTTAAATGACAAAGACAATATAGCTATCAAAAGATGCTGAATAGAGTTAAACTGTTCTAAATGATCTGCAGACAGTCTAGAAAAACACAACGCCATATCACTGGGATGTTTCTCTCTCGATGTGTGTGTGTGTGTTTATGTGTGAAAGTGTACGCACATACACACACACATATATATATATATATATATATATATATATATATATATATATACCCTTCTGAAGTGAGTGGTCTAGGAGATCAGGGTGCAACACAACAAAAGTAAAATGACCATAAAAGTCTAGAAGAACCACAAGCTGGCTTTGTATAAAAGAAGCAATTTAATGCTGTAATGAAGTAATGATATCCGGCTGTGCGTATGACACGTGGGATCTGAAAATCAGGCCATTTGGTGACGTTGCAATACACAAAAACCAGGGGCTTTTAAACACTATAACAAAAAGAGGGAAGTATTTTAACTTCAGGGTCTCAAGGCCAAAACAACAAACAAAACCTCCCATCTGGCTTAAACAAAATGCAACACTTCTCTAATGATAAAAATAAATACAATGCAAAAGCTGCACTGGCTGTCCACAAAACAGGAGAAAAATGTGTATCAAAGAAAAAGGCAGAGAACCCCCTACAAAAACTTCCCACCTAACAAAAGAATAAGTTAAATCACACACCAATTAAAACCAGCATCCACTAAATAGCACTGATATCACAGTAGCTTATGCTACTCAGGTTTGAACACGAACACAACCACAATCACAACCTATGCCCGGGGCTGGCTGGAGCTTTTATGCAGGTCCACTGATGATCCCAGCTGTGCTCCAGGGTGTGGCAGCAGACCTGCAAACAAACGCCATACAGGAAGCTCTCTACTCCAAGAGAGCCCCTACAGGTCAGTGGACATAACACCATCCCCCATAAAAGACTTTTACACAGTAAAAATACAACACTAATAGGTTTCACCATGTTGTGGGGATAAACACGGCACTCTTGAGATCGGCACCAGCAATCACATTTTCTGCACCTTTTTTATGTTTTATGTCCAGGCTGTACTCCTGGGCCAGTAATGTCCAGTGCATTAACCTTTGGTTGTGATTGTACATCTGCTTTAGGAACACCAAAGGGTTATGGTCAGTGTACACTGTGACAGGATATGTTGTTGAACCCACACAATCATAATGTTGTAGAGTCAGGAGCATGGCTAAAGTCTCCTTCTCATTGGTTGAATAGTTAAGCTGATAGGACTTAAACTTAGCTGAGAAGTGAGAAACCGGGTGGTTGAGGCCATCTGCTCCTTCTTGCAACACCACCCCTCCAACCCCAGTAGCACGTGCGTCCACTTCCAGTTTTTAGACTTTGCTGAAGTTTGGAGCTGCCAATACAGGTGCACTGCAGAGAAGAGACTATGCAGAAACAACGGCATGTTGACAGTCAGCAGTCCACACAAAAGGTTGCTTTGGTCTGCACATCTTTGTTAGAGGGGTCACCACAGTGGAAAAGTTCTGGCAAAAACACCTGTAATAGCCAACCAAACCCAGAAAGCGGCGGAGTTCATGTCTGGTGGTTACCAAATGGTAGTGTATGATGGCTTCCACTTTTGCGTTTACTGGGCGTACCTGTCCATGGCCCACTTGTTTTCCCAAGTATGTCACCACAGCTTTAGCAAACTCACATTTTGCCAGATTCAATGTTAAGGAAACTTAGGCAAATCTGCTGAAAACATCCCTTAGGGTGTTCATGTGATCATTCCAGGTAGAAGAATAGATCACAATGTCATCCAAGTAAACATTACAGTGTTCAACATCACCCAACACTAAATTCATGAGTCGCTGAAAGGTAGCTGGAGCATTGCAAATACCAAATGCCATTACTTTATATTGCAAGAAATGGTCTGGGGTAACGAAAGCAGAAATATCCGATGCCCTAGGGGTCAGAGGTACTTGCCAGTACCCATTTAACTTGTCTAGTGTTGTTATGGAGGTAGCTGCACCAATGCTATCTACACAGTCCTCCAGGCGAGGCAATGGAAATGAATCTGAGGCTGTGACTGCATTCACTCTCCGGTAATCTGTGAAAACGCGAGTAGAACCATCTGGCTTAGGTATCAGAAGGCATGGAGAACTCCGCGAGCTACGGCTTTGTACAGCCAAATCATTTTCAAGGAGATATTGCACCTCTTGCTTTATTATTTCCCTTTTGAGGGGAGGGCAACGATATGCATGCTGTTTAATTGGTGTTGCACCATCTACATCAATGTCATGCTGTATCACAGATGTCCGAGAAGGTACATCTCCAAATATAATTGGGTAGGCCTCAATGGGGCCTTTCACATCCTCCTTCTCATCACTGGGAAGATAAGAAAGGCAGTCCTCTAGGGTGTCAAGTATCACTGAATTGGAAAGTCAACCACCATAGTGCTTTTCTCTACATTTTTTTCAAACCATCATCATGGTTGAGGAGTACAGACACCAGAGAGACAGAAGCAGGTTTTGAAGATTCTCCACCATTTTGGTCTTTGCATCCTTCTACCTTAGACAGAAAAGGCTTCAACATATTCACATGACACAACCGTGTGTGGCGCCTCCTGTCAGGAGTTTGAACAATGTAGTCTGTGTCATTTACTTTGTTTTTCACAAAATATGAGCCTGTGAATTGTGCTGATAGAGATGGGTCCGGTGTGGGCACCAGCATAAGCACTTGGTCACCAGGTTGAAAAACATGCAGTGCTGTCTTTTTGTCAAACAGACGCTTCTTGTTTTGTTGGGCAGTGGACAAAGATTTCTTGGCTAGGGAGCAGGCATGATATAGCCTTTCACGACACTGGGTGACAAAGTCAATCACATTTGTTTGGAGTTGGGGGCCAGCAGACAAAAATGGTTCCTTCAGAACCTTCAATGGCCCTCGTACTCTATGCCCAAAGATCAGTTCATTAGGGCTGAAACCAAGAGACTCTTGTTTCGCCTCATGAGCTGCAAACAGTAAGAAAGGTAATCCTTCCTCCCGATGTTTCTCAGTTTCAAGACAGTACTTTTGAATCATCGATTTTAAAGTCTGATGCCATCTTTCCAGTGCTCCTTGTGATTGGGGATGGTAAGGGCTAGATGTGAGGCGTTCGATGCCAAAAGATTGCAATGTCTGTTTGAACAGTTTTGATAGAAAACTGCTGCCTTGATCAGTTTGTATGGTTCATGGCTGACCAAATATTGTTAAAAGCTTAAGGAGAGCTTTGCTTATAGCAGGAGCTGTGATTCTCCGAAGAGGAACAGCTTCAGGGAATCGGGTCGCAGCACACATTATCGTCAAAAGAACTGATTACCTGTTCTTGGTAGAGGGCCCACACAGTCTACTAAGACATGCTCAAAAGGCTCACCAACAGCAGGGATGGGACTAAGGGGAAAAGGGGGTACCACCTGGTTAGGTGTCCCCACAATTTGGCAAACCTTGCACATTCTACAGTACCTGGCAACATCTTTCTTCAAGCCTGGCCAGAATAAATGCTGAAGGCTGCGGTCATTGGTTTTTGTTATCCCTAGATGACCAGACCAAGGGTGATCATGTGCCAGCTGCATTATTTCTTCTCAGTAGCCCTTTGGAATGACCACTTGGTGTACAAAACCCCAATCATCACCATCTTCCTGTTGCAGGTCTGAACATGAAACCCATTTCCTTAAGAGCAGCCCATCCTCAAAGAAAAACTGTTGCGACAGTCTTTTATCTTTGTTTATTGCCCCTTCAAAACGTTTAAAAAGTGTTTCATCACTTTTTTGAGCTTGGCTCAAACACTCACGTGAAACTGATAGAGAAAGATCCTCAGGTTTAATAGTTGGGCCCAAATCAACTGGCTCTGGGTCAGAAGGGCCAGCAGCTGGTAGCCGGTCGTCAAGTTGTTCTGCAGGTTCAGAAACAGATGAGGCATCCTCATTATACTCTTTGTCCTCCCCCTGCAGAAATACTCCTTTTTCAACCAGACATTTAAATACAAGAAACTTCAAATCACGTTTTAGCATACGCTTTGTCACTGTGATACCATAATGGGATGCAATTAAACACAAATTGTCCTTTCTACACATGCTTAACTGTTGTAGAGTGGGATCGCTCACAAATCCCAACAAATCAAACTGTGCCATGTTCAAAATGATCCCGGACGAGCCCCCACGTATGTTACAACCCTTCTGAAGTGAGATCATGGTGCAACACAAAAAAAGTAAAATAGCTAAAAGTCTAGAAGAATTACGAACTGGCTTTGTATAAAGGAAGGAATTAATACACAAAAACCAGGGGCTTTTAAACACTATAACAAAAAGAGGGAAGTATTTTAACTTCAGGGTCTCAAGGCCAAAACAACAAACAAAACCTCCCTTCTGGCTAAAACAAAATGCAACACTTTTCTAATGATAAAAAAATACAATGC